TGGCCTGGAACTCACTCAGTAGACCAGGCTGGCCTGGAACTGGAAGATCCTCCTGCCTCTGCCTCATGAGTGCTGGAATTAAAGGTGTACATCACTCCCGCCCATCCCAGAAAAAAATTTAAGTAACTATTATAGTGTATTGCTATAATTGTAATTCTTACTGGTTATTATTAAGCTCTTACTGTGCAAACTTATTAAGAAAATTTAAAACAGGTAAAGTTTATGTATGTGAAAAAGAAAAAGCAGCATATATAGGGTTTGACACTGCCCAGTGTCAGGTTTTCACTGGAGATCTTGAGACACCACCTCCTAGGTAATTAGAAACTACAGTGGGGCTTTAGAGATGGCTCAGAGGTTAAGAGCACTGACTGCTCTTCCAGAGGTCCTGAGTTCAATCTCCAGTAACCACATGATGGCTCACAACCATCTATGATGCTTTCTTCCTGCATGCAGGTGAACATACAGATAGGGTACTATATACAAAAAATTAAGAAATTAAAAAATGAAACTATAGTAATGACTAAGTGAAGATGTTGACACCTTCTGATAATCTCTCATCTAAAAAGTATGCTTACTTCCTCTTCCCTTGAGGCTTGGTTTAGTGACTTCTAAGAAGATAGGCTAATTAATTTTCTGCTACTGTAATAAAATGCCTGAGGCAATCAACTTACACAGAGCAAAGGTTTTACCTTGGCTCTCAGATTTGGATGCTCTGGTCCATGATTACTTGATTGTGTATTTCCTTGGTGAGACAACACATTATGGCAGGGTTGCAGAGCGGAGCAAAACCACTTATTAACCTCGTTGCTAAGGAGCAAAAGAGGAAGAGACTGGGGTCCCATAATCCCTTTGAGCACTCCCAATAAGCTAAAAACCTATTGTTAGTCACCCCAAAGGTTCAGTCATCTCCCCATAGTGCCACCCAGAAAACAAAGCCTTTAAAGCTCATGGAGCTCAGAGGGATGTTTAAGACCCAAAGAACAGTACAATAGAAAAGATAAAAGTGACCATTATTCCTGAGACTAGATCATAAAAACTCACTTGTGTACTCTCTCTCTCTCTCTCTCTCTCTCCATCATCCACTTACCATCTGTCTGTCTATCTATCTATCTATCTATCTATCTATCTATCTATCTATCTCACATCAAGGGACAGTTAGTTGCCATAGAAACATTTAGGCAGTCTATGGGGTGGCCCATACAGAGGTACTCTGAGATGTCTTGTTAATTGCAAGTGACGTTTTGGCCTCCAGACAAGCAGTGGCCCCTCTTGTCTGGCCCTGACTCTGGTCACATATGATTGCTGTTCCTGATATCCTGTCTGCAGCAAAGAGAGACCCTGACACAAAGGCTTTCAGCTAAGCTGCCCTGGACCTGACTCTAAAACTGAGGAAAGACATGTTATAGGTTTAAGTCAGTTTTAGGTAAGTTGTTACACAGTAATAGATAGAATTAGTGATAATTGGAATATGATATTGAAAAAGCCTAACAAATAAGTAATGATGGAAATATGTAGAAGGATTTAATAAGTTAGATGATCAACTCAGGAGGTTTTATAGCTTATGAATGAGAACTTGAAAAAGGTAGGAGTGAGGAAACAATATTCCTCAGGAAGGATGAGCATGGGCTTTTAGGACAGAAGAACCATGACTGTCACGATGCATGAAAAAAAGAGCTGCACTACATTTCAGTATTTCAGAACACTAGGGAATGGAAATCAAGAAGTTTCAGAAAGAAAGACATATAACTGAAAACTTAGAGTAGTAAAGCTACCCAGTGTTGTGTTTACAATTGTGCTCTGCCTCATCGTGCTATGTGAATGGTGAGGATTCCAACTCAGTTCCCCATGTATTCACAGCAAACACTTTATCACCATCAGCCATCTCCCCAGCCCAGTCTGTATCCTAAGGGGGTATCTGGAATATATATAACTGGAGCTAGGGGAAGTAAGCAGTGGGCAGGAAGTTGGGTCAGGAACTCAATCAGGGCAGGAACCTGGAGGCAGGAACTGATGCAGAGGCCATGGAGGGGTGCTGCTTACTGGCTTGCTTGTTCCCCATGGCCTGCTCAGCCCGTGTTTGTTGTTGTTTGATTTTGTTTTGTTTTTTGAGACAGGACTATCTCTTTTGAATAGCCTGGCTGTCCTGGAACTCAATTCTGTAGATCAGGCTGACCTCAAACTCACAGAGCTCCTTCTGCCTCTGCCTCTGCCTCCCAAGTGCCACTATGTCCAGCATCAGCTTGCTTTCTTTTGGAACCCAGGACCATCAGCCCAGTGATGACAACATTCACAATGGGCTGGGCCCACCCTTATCAACCACCAATTAAGAAACTGTCCTACAGCTAGATCTTATGGAGGCATTTTCTCAATTGAAGTTTTCTCCTTCCAGAGAACTCCAGCTTGTGTCAGGTTGACATATTTTATTTTTCTGTGGCCTTAGCTTCCTCTTTCCACCATGTTTTCTAGTGTAACAGAGGGCCAGCTTCCAATACTGTGGCTGCCTAATCTTTCCAGTCTTGGGGGATAATTCTATTCTGAGTTGCCCATGAATTTAGTATCTGCTTCCCATAGGGTGATGCATACCATATGAAATGATCACTTCCTTAAATCTCCTAAAAGCTAAATGTTTCTATAGGATTCCATTTAACTTCTTCATAATCTTGGGGTGTCTGTCGTCTGCTGGTCATTCTTGTATGGTAACTAGATAAACTAAAGTTGGTTTTCTAACAACCTGGGGCCTCCCTCTTCACTTTTATCCTGTGGTAGGTTCTTGTCTAAATTCCTCTGTCTGTGTCTGAGTAATTCTCTTATTTTCATTTATAAGTCTTTCTAAGGCTTGTATCTTGTCAATCCACTTTGCATATTTGGCACAATTACCAAACCACTTTTCATATTTGGCAAAAAAGTCACTATGGCTACTAAGGATAAAATATAAGTTAACAGACTATTAATTATAATATTTATTATAAAATCAATCTCAATTAAGTCATTTATGCTTTCCTTTTCTGCTTCTATTTTCAAGCCACCTAAAGTAGCATCTTACAGGGTCCTAGCATCCTGTGTTGTGATTTTTCCCATCCTTAATGTGGGAAAGATTTTTCCTTTTAATATTACTTGCTTAAGGACTTCCAAGGTGTCTTACCAAATTTGATGGCTTCTCAGTTTGTCCACAGCTAGTGTGATTCCTCTGTGTGTAATATTGTGCCTTGAGTTGGAGCGCCAAAAGTTTTGTTCATGAATTGGAGTGCCAATTTTTTTGTTTTGTGACAGGGTTTTTCTGTGTAGCCCTGAATGCCCTGGAACTTGCTCTGTAGACCAGGGTGCCCTCAAACTCACAGAGATCCACCTGCCTGTTCACTTCCTGTCAGTTGGTTGCTTACTCTGCCTCTTGAACTATGGGTGACTTTATTTAATCCTGTTTACAATGTTCAAGCAGAAAGCTCTTGGATTAAAGGTGTGTGGCTAGGGCTGAGCCACACCACAACTAGAAACAAGTTTTTCTAGTAAATAACACAATCTTGGGTGTCACAATATGATAAGAAATCCTGCAACATCTCTAGGAAGCATGGCAGCCATTATAAATATAATGCAAATCAAATATACACTCAGATTCTTCAGCAGTTCCCTATAAAATTAAAATGTTTCTCAAGGTTGGTAGCATCCTCATTTAGCTGGCCTTGAATTTGTTTTCTTTCTTTTCTTTCTTTGTTTTTTTGAGACAGGGTTTCTCTGTATTGCTTTGGAGCCTGTCCTGGAACTTGCTGTGTAAACCAGCCTAGCCTCGAACTCACAGAGATCCCCCTGCCTCTGCCTCCCCAGTGCTGGGATTAAAGGTGTGCACTACCAACGTTTCCTAGTATTTTACCTTTCTTTGTGTCCAAGTCCTTGAACTTTACTTAACTTGGATCTAAGTCTCTATTTATTTTTTTTCAGTGTTAATTCCCTTCTTGTTTACCTGATAAATTTCAACCAACCTTTCACACTTGGTTCTGGAGACATTTCCTGTGGGAATGTCTCTGAAATCTCCCTCCTTTGTTTTCCAAACCCTATAGTATCAGCTATTTACTCCTTTGAGGTTAAAAGTCCATATTTAATTTAATCATATACTATGTATATTACAAATTTTGTATGATAATTTAGTTTTCTCATCAGATAGTCAGCTATTCTTGTAATGGCTACTCTTGGTTGTCAACTTGACTACGTCTGGAATGAACTACAATCCAGAAATGAAGGGTACACTTGTGATCTGGATTTTGTGGCAAGAAGACAACAAGTCTTTGATCCAGATCTTGAGGTTGGAAGACACAGGTTTTTGATCCAGATGACACACACCTTTAATCCAGATCCTGAGGTAGTAAGGCGCACCTTTGATCTGGGCTATACCTTCTGCTAAAAGCCTATATATGGGCATTGGAAGAAGGAAGGGTTCATTCCTTCTTGCCCCGCTTGCCCTCTCCTTCCCAGCATGCCCCTCCCTTCAATGGCATTGGAGCCTACTTCAGGATTCCAGCGCACAGGGAATACCAACTGAGACATCCAGCCTTGTGGGCCTGAGCAGCTCCTTGGACTTCCATTCTTAGACAGCCATTGTTGGATTACTTGGACTGCAGCCTGTTAGTCATTCTAATAAATTCCCTTTATATATGTAAATATAGAGCAATTCATTGTATAAATTCTGTGACTCTAGGGAACCCTGACTAATATACAATAATAGAGGCCTTCTTCCATCCATCTTTGTGTCCTTAGTCACCAACATAAAGCACACCCATGATTAGTGGATGGTGAATGCTGGCTAAGTCCATTAGATTATTTGGTTGAACCAGTTATGTCTTACTGAGAATATGAAAGAGCTGAAAGTGAAGCTGGATAGCTACTGTCCCTGCTGTGTAAATTTCACTATGGTAATAGTTGATAATGAATGATGCATCTCTAACCCTTCCAGAAAGGGAAGTGTCTAGGAAGGCATGGTCCTCTGTCCCACCATACTAAATTCTCCTCACCTGTTTCTTCAGTTGTGTTTCTCTTTTTATGCCGAAGGGAATTCTGATACCCTAATAGATATAAGTTGAAGAAAGCCATCTCAGCGCCTCTTTCTTTTCAGAATGTCTACTCTGGAGTGCTGGGTTCTAGTAACCATGGTAATGTCTTGAAGAATTATCATGACTGACATTTGCTTTGTCCAATAGGTCACCATGGAGTTGGAATTGAGTGGGCTAAATAATTTCAGGAAACTTGAGGAGTCAATATGATTACCTTTTTACAAAAGTATTTCTGCCAGGTGATGGTGGCTCATGCTTTTAATCCTAGCACTCAGGAGGCAGAAGCAGATGGATCTCTGTGAGTTTGAGGTCAGCCTGGTGTACAAATCAAATTCCAGGACAGCCAGAGCTGTTACACAGAGGAAACCCTGTCCTGAAAAACATCAAACACCAAACCAAATCAAACCGAACCCCAAAACCAATCAACCATTTTTTTTTATTCTTTGAAAATTTCAAACATGTACATTGATCATAAACATCCTCCACTACTTCCTTTCAACTCCCTCCAAGTGCCCTCCATCTTGTTTCCTTCCTAACTTCTTTATGTAGCCCTGGCTGTCCTGAAACTTACTGTGTAGACCAGGCTGGACTTGAACTTAGAGATCTGCCAGTTCTGCCTCCCAAGAGATGGAATTAAAGGTGAGTGCCACTATGCCCCACCTACTTATCAAGTTATTTTAAATTCCCAATCTGAAATCCCAAAATTCCACTGTGAGTACCTGGTTCTGATGCTTCCAGATTTTGCATTTCTTGTTTTTCAGGCTCTAACAGAACATATTATGTAAGGCTCAGGGTATATCTTTAGATGGCTAGGTCAGAGATGTACACTGTTGTAGAAGCAGGTGCTGGAGGCCAGCATCTCTCCTGAGGTTCTTGCTTGTGGTCTCCCTTGCTATCCTTGATTTTCCATGCTTTCTTCAGGTTTATTGTACTGCAGAAAGAGCTGTGTGTGTGAGAACAAGACTGCCTTGAAGCACCTTCAACAGGGTCTGAGCCTTGCGATTCTTTCAGTTGCAATCCTGTTATTATACTGGAACTTTATGATATGTCCGTAAGATTGGAGGGCTTAGGAGAAGTATTTTGTAATTTTATTAGGTTGCTGCCTGGTCTTGTATGTTTATGTAGTAGTATGTGTGTGCATATGAGTGAACACACATGTGAAGGCTAAAGGTTGACATTAGGTCTCTTTATTGCTCTCCATTTTATTTTATTTTAATTTTTATTTATTTATTTATTTAGAGACAGTTTCTCTGTGTAGCCTTGGCTGTACTGGAACTCATTCTACAGACCAGTCTTGAACTCACAGAGATACACCTGCCTCTGCCCCCCCCCCCCAAGTACTAAAAGTGTGTGGCACCACTGCCTGGCTACTTATTTACTTTTTAAAAACAGGGTGTCTCCACATAAGCTTGGCTGACTGGGACTTACTATGAAGACTAGATGGACCTTGAACTTTTGAGAGATCTGCCTCCATCTTGAGTGCTGGGATTTAAAAAGTCATGCTCTACCATGCCCACCCTATCCCCATTGAGGCTGGGCCTCTTACTGCATCTGAAGGTTCATCAGTTTGCCTAGACTATATGGCCAACAAACCCAAGGTTCCTCTTTCTCTGTGTCCCCAGTTCTGGGAGAGGTGCCCAGTTTTTCTCATGGGCCCTACAGATTTGAACTTGGCTTCTCATCCTTATGCACATGGATAACACTGGGGAGGGGGGTTGTGCACACTAACTTTTTAAACAAAAAAAAAATTCCCGTAACTGATCTTGGTTTTTTTTAATCATTTATTTATTTATAGACAGTCTCTATTATGTAGTCCTGGCTCTTGAATTCTCAGGGTATCCCAGGGTAACCTTGAATTCACAGAGATCCTCCTGCTTCTGCCTCCCCAGTGGTGGGATTAGAGGAGGGTGCCATCATGCTCAGCTTTATTTTAATTTTTGAGTCAGGTTCTCACTATGTACACAAGGCTGTCCTGAGACTCACTATGTAGACTGGGCTGGTCTTGAACTCATATAGACCCAGCTGCTACCTCCTGAGTGCTGGGATCAAAAGTGTGTCCACTAAAGAGGCCTAGAGCAGATCCTTAGAGACAAGAATTCACAATGCTGCTTTTAACTCAGATCAGCCTCCCTCAGGGATTAAAGGTGTGTGCCACCACTGCCTGGAATTCACTTTGCAGACCTGGCTGGCTTTGAACTTTGATCTTGCCTCTGCCTCCTGAGTGTAGGGATTAAAGGGGCACACTACTACATATTGCCCTATATACTAACATTTTACAGACACAATGAGCTTGATAGGCATGGGAGAACAGGTGGGAAGTTGAGCCCAGAAGTTCACAAGGTCATTGCTAGCCTGGGCTATAAAGTAAGTTAAAGACTAACTTAGTCAATTTAAAACAACAAATCAAAACAGGGCTGGATACAGCTAGGTGGTAGAGTACTTTCCCAGCATAGGCCCAGGGGTCTAAATTCAATTTCCACTGGAGTTGAAGGGAGAGGTGCAAGGAAGGCGGACTGAGAGGTTAATTATCTTGCTTAGGCTGAATGAAAAGCTGTTAGACTTGGAGCTGGGCTCCAATTTCATAGCGGTCTGAACTTAGAAAATTTCCATGTGTTGGTGGTGGAACTTTCCACAATGTAGAGGCAGTTTTAGTTCATCCATTAGCAGATCCTAGAATTCTTTACTACTTATAAAATATTTACTGTCCCTGCACGTTCCTCAGTGCGTTTGGCACAGTCAGGACAACTTGGCAAAGTCAGTCCTCTCCTCTCATTTACCATGGGGGTTCCAGGGATGGGACTCAGCTCATCCGTGTTGGCCACAGCTTCCTCTACCTGCCGAGCCATTTCAAGGGGCCCCTCACTCACATCTATACACAAAAGTTCCAGGGGACTTCTTGGGTTAAAAATCAGTGACCCAAATGTTTGAGATGGACTCCCAATTCCCAGGTAAGTGGTGGCAACAATGGGCTCTTGGTAAACATAGGGGTCACTCATAGATCTGTGATTTGAGACAGTGTGAACATCAGAACTGAGCTGAATACTGCGACAGAGCCTTGGAAACAGACAACCTGGAGTGGACAGAAGGGTGAGGCGGGCAGCAGCCCCACAAAGTGGACCTAGGAGTGAGTGCAGCGCACAAATGATCCCTTGTTCTTCTTCGATTGATAATCTTCCCCTAAGGTTTGGGTTTCCCAGAACTACTGATCCCGCTGGCACTGGCACCGGGCACACCCTTGGGACCTAACTGAAGGTTTGGAATCTACACTGGCAAGCATATCGCTGTCACAAAAGTAAAGCAAGAGAAAAGGCTCACCACCTAAGTGAAATTATACTTAAGCCAGGCACGGTGTCGTACGCACGCCTTTAATCCCTGCACTCAGGTGAACACCCGCGGATTGGTGAGTTCTAGGCCTGCCAAGGCTACACAGTAGGCCTTGCCTAAAAAGCAAACAAACAAAAACAAAGACATCTGCATCCCAAAACAAAAAAGGACAGATCTCCATCCCCAAGAAAAAGCACCCCAACACATCGTGTTCTTGGGACATGAAAGCATGAGATTAGCATCGTTAATTTTATTCCTTCCGGCTGGTTATCTGCAGTGAGACGTAGGAAGGGTCTGCTACAAACAGGAGAACTGCTTTTCTCTGTGTAGCCCTGGCTGTCAGGGAACTCGCTCTGTAGATCAGGCTGCCTCGAACTCACAGAGACCCTCCTGCTTCCGCCTCCCCAGTGCTGAGACTAAAGGCTTGCGCCGGTAGGTAATAAGCCCAGTTCTGTAAATGCTACTCCATCACGAACGCTCTCGGAAGAGACGACCAAGGACCGCTGGCAACGTAACCTCCGCACGGTTATCGCGGGGAAAGGCGAGATTTCAACAGACCTACTTTAAAGAGCTCGCCTCCTCCGGTGGTCACGTGATCCTATCGCGCCTGCGTCCTGGCCGCGGCTTCGTTCCTAGTCACGGACTGGCGGCGGATGCGTTTACGGGTTGTCGCAGGGTCCATTCCGGAAGTAGGCGCTTGAAGTCCCGGCTTCCTGGGCGGAAGTGTGTCACAAGCTGGGAGTCGACTCTCAGGAGGAAGTTCGTCACGTCGCAGTTGTCTCGGCCCGGCGGATGTGTGTCGCCGCTTAGGTGACGCTGGGAAGTGCTTGCAGCCCCCGCCGCTGCCTTTTGGTTGAAGCACTATGGAGGGAGAGAGGAAGAACAACAACAAACGGTGGTATTTCACTCGGGAGCAGCTGGAAAATAGCCCGTCGCGTCGTTTTGGCGTGGACTCAGATAAAGAACTATCTTATCGCCAGCAGGCGGCCAATCTACTCCAGGACATGGGACAACGTCTTAACGTGTATCCTTGCGGCCTAGGCCTTCGGCCTTGGAGCCCGTCCGGCCATGCTTCGGCGTCAGGCCGGGCACGCCGGCGGGGACACAGTGGGTAAGGTGGTGGCTGGAGCTGGACGTCTAAGTGGGGAGAGCCCACAATGGCGCTGGCCGAGCCACTGTTCGCGCGAGGGAAGTGAGGCGGAGTCAATTTCCCGCTCGCTCACCGGTGCCACCAGCCTGGCTGGGAATTCGGACCTCTCCCGTCTTTGTGCTTTCGCCCCTCCTTCCCAGCCCCTCTCATCTGAATTCTGACCTGTTCTAGTGGCTTTTGAGAGTCTTTCTGCTTTTGAGAGTCTGTTTCTGCCGTGACCAAAGGCAGACGCTGACTCCCAAAGTATGTAAAAAAGGGTTTCGGGAAATTGTGTACCCGACGGGCTTATGAAGGTGATCTAGAATTAGCTCCCAGGCTTTGGTTCCAAACCCGTTTCTCCCACTTGCTAGCCGTTTAATTTGTCAAATTCTTGTTTTTCTATGCCCACCACAACGCTTGAGTGTCAGTTGTTCTAGTAGCTGTTTCATAGAATTTAAGAGAAAGGAAAGATGCCAGCTTCGGTTTGTACGGAGGTATAAATATGGAAATAATGTTTTAAGTATTTTGCAGAGTATTAAATCCTTCTCAGGTCACTAGAGATTATTCATTCGTCTTCAGATTTCAAATATAAGATAATGTATTGACCCCCGCCCGTTTTTCTTCTTAGAATACAGTCATTTGTGGCAAAATTGATAGTTTTGTTAAATTTTCCATTTCCCATGTAACTTTATTTTAGGTGCAGCTTCAACTTATGTAGCATTTATTTAAGAGTGATGCTGAGGGCTGTGTGGTAGCCAAAGCTACAAAGTGAGACCCTGTCTCAAAAAAAAAGAGTTCTTACTATAATGCTTAGATCTTAAGGGTTTTTTTTCTTCCAAATAGGTGTTCTCTTTATTGGCCAGTTGTTTCCTATTGAAATCCAGTTATTCAGTCAGTGCACAATTAAACCTGTAAGTTTCTGTATATGTTTAAGGCACCCTTTTAAAGTGTGTTTAAGCTTGTTGCTGTCATATTGTCATTTCTATACAGATTGTTGCTGAGGTCTGTGGGAATAAGGTATTCTTCCTGTTTTTCCTGGCTAGAGGTCTACCCATACAAAGGAAATTTTCTGATCTAACTAGAGGGAGTTTATTTTCAGTGGATTACCATCAAATCATTTCACATGTTTTGTAGTTCAGGAATCATGTAATATTTTTCTGAAAGAAGGAGAACTAAGCACTAAGGTGGTGCATGCCTTTAATCCCAGCACTTGGGAGGTGGAGGCAGGCTGATTTCTGAGTCAGAAGTCTGCCTGTTCTATAGAGGCAGGGCTACACAGAGAAACCCTGTCTCAACACTCCCATATCCACCCACCCACCCACTCTCCAAAAAAAAGGAATAAAGAGGAAAAGTAGAACTGAAAAACTGATCTCTGGAGTTTAAATTATCCTCGGGCAAGCAAGATGTCCCAGCAGGTAAAGGCACTTGCCAGCAAACCTGATGACCTGAGTCGTACATATCCTTGTGGCCCATAGGGTGGACAGATAATTGATTCCTGCAAGTTGCACTCTGACTAACCACACTTATGCTATGGCCCTCATCTCCCCCCCCAAAGTAAATGTAATTTTAAGAAAGTTATTCTGAGCTAATGGATCATCTTTGCAGAAGGCAAGTGACATGACAGATTTACACCTTGCCACTTATTTATTCAGTCATTAAGTCTCTATTAAGTACTTGTTAGGTAGAAGACATGTTGTCAGTTGGCTGTTAATTTAGTTAGTTCAGGAAAACAAATCTGCTTGGTTTGAAGCCGTAACTGTTATCGTCTGTGCTGTTTTGGGAAGGGGATTCTCTTGTCCGTTACTGACCCTTAACTCTAGCACTTCAGATCTCAACTGACTATCAATACCGCTATAGTATACATGCACCGGTTCTACATGGTCCAGTCTTTTACTCAGTTCCATCGATATGTAAGTACAGTTTTGTATGGGGTGACCCTTTTGGGTTTGATTCTAGCTGCCTATGTTATGATTGCTTGTTGTCATTGGATCAGGATTTTAATTTTAGAATTTAGGGCTGGTCATTTTAAGATAAAAAAAAATCATGATTTAAGTATAGCTGTCTATGTGGTAAATTTATGGCCATAAAAGACAAATGTAGTTAGATTTTGTAAAACCTTTGATAAAATTCAGAAGTTAGCTGGAGGGAAAGATGTATTATGTGGTAATGACTGGGGAGATAACTTTTAGGAATGGGGAAGAATAGGAATAAAAGGATTTTTTTTCTTGGACAAAGTTGTAAATATAGTGCTATTTTCAGTTTTGTTAACTAAAATGGCCTATTTAACAATTGGTGATTTGGAAGTGAATACATAGTGCTTGCTATTTCAATTTCAGGAAAGACTATATTTGATTAATTAAGATTCCAAGGTAAAACTGCATCTGTGATGGTACATACAGTTAATCCCAGCACTTGGGAGGCAGAGGTAGATGGATGTCTGATCTGCAGAGTGAGCTCCAGGTCAGCTAGGGCTACACAGAGAAGCCTTTTCTTAAACCCTTATTAGCCAAGATAAAAAAGGTTAATTTGAACAGATCCTTGTGTGGATTAGTGGGTCAAATGTGCTATTATTATTTTTTAAAGTCTTTGAGGAAACATGTTTCAAATGTAGAATAATGCACCTAAAAATTTAGTTTTGTGCTAGTGCCTACAGAGGCTAGATGAGGGCACTGGATTCCCTGGAGCTGGAGTTACACAGGCTGCTGTGGTCCACCCTAGGTGGGTACTAGGGGCCCAGATAAGACATTTTGAGTTGTTTTGTTTTGATGCTATAAGCTTTGTGAAGCTAAATCTAATTCCTGTCGTGTAAGAAATTGGCAAAATCACATATAGGAGTAACAGGAAACTCTTACTTAGCATCTTTAGTTAAGAATTGACAATTTTGAGTGATTAGTCAGTTTGGCTCTTTCCTGCCCTTAGCTCCCATACTTCTCATAACCTTTATAGAAGCTGTCTGGTAGCACTGAAACAGAAGTCTTAAATAGAGAAAGAAATTAAAGAGGAATTCCATAGCTGTTCTATAGTCAGCTTTCCTTTTTTATTTCTTTTCTCTCTCTCTCTCTCTTTCTTTTTTTTTTTTTTTTTTTTTTTTTAAAGATTAGAGCCTCACTATATAGTCATGGCTGGACTTGAACTATGTAATTCTGGCTGCTTTGAATGTCCAAGTTCTGGCATTATGGGCAGGAGGTGCAACACCTGCCGAGTCTTCTCTTTTATTGCAATAAAGGATTTGAAATTTAGGGTGGACTCTTAAATCAGGTTGTTCAGTCTGTATTTATGGGTTAGCATATATTTCCCTCTTATTTAAATGACAAGCTTTTGGGGGTGGGGGCATTGAGAAAAGGTTTCCCTGTATAGCCCTGGCTGTCCTGGAACTCACTCTGTAAACCAGAATGGCATCAAACTCACAGAGATCCATCTGCCTCTGCCTCCCTGAGTGCTGGGATCAAAGGTGTGGGCCACCACCACCCAACAGTAGTTGAGCTTCTCTAGAGTATTGATTCCCCCCCCCCCCCCCACCCCCCCCACACCCCAGACATGATCCACCAAGCCCAGCTAGAGTATTGATTTTAGGTATATTTTAGAATTAGCACATCCAAAATATTATTTTCTTAACACATTAATTTTATAATTTTGATTTAACTACAATCAATTAAAATTAGATTTGAGCCTTTCATAGTGGTACACACCTTTAATCTTAGCTCTTGGGAGGCAGAGGCAGGCAGATCTCTGTAAGTTCAAGCCCTAGCAAATAGTAGGCAAATACTAGCTAAATATTTTTTTTTTTTTTTGAAAAGAATTTATATTCTAACATGATATAAAAATGCTTCTTAGTGTTAGATGCATGTGCCTGTGAGCTTATGTATTTAAGGAAACTGAGTTACAGGGTTCCTTTTTTTTTTTTTTTTTTTAAAGAATCTAGCTAGCTGGGAAGTGGTGGCTTACACCTTTGATCCCAGCACTTGGGAGGTGGCAGATGGATCTCTGAGTTTGAGGCCATTCTGGTCTACAGCGTGAGTTCCAGGACAGCCAGGGCTACACAGAGAAACCTGTCTTGAAAAACCAAAAAAAAAAAAAAATCTAGCCTGATGAGGTGGCTTATAGTGGGAAAGGTGCTTGCTGTCAACTCTGACAACCTGAGTTCAATCCCTGGAATTTACAGGAAGGAAAGAGTGGATTGGGATCAAGCCTAGGGTTTTACACAGACCAGATATCACTCCTGCTAATTGAATTACACTTACAGTATCATTTCTCTTTTTCCCTTTAGTTCATTCATCTCTTGACTGACATCTTGCCTAGTTCCATTTTAGCTTTTTAAGAAGAGTGGAAGGATAAGGAGGGTTGTGCAAGTATCTTTGTGGCATGTTAGACTTTAGACTAGAAAGTTGTAACTTAAAGATAGTAGTAGGGTTGCAAGTATTACAATGTTTCAGTTGCTGTGTGATCTTGTATAGTTAGTCACTGAGATTTTTATCTACTTGTGTATTGGCTTGAATTGTTTTTTTTTCCCCTAAATATTTTCTATCTTATGAGTTTAAAACTTTGTAGTTTTTTAATTTTTTGTTTTTTTCAAGACAATTTTTTTTTTTCAGTGTAGCCTTGGCTGTTCTGGAACTTGCTCTGTAGACCAGGCTGGCCTTGAACTCAGAGATGCTGGTCTCTGCCTCCCAAGTGCTGGGATTAAAGACATGGACTATTACTGCCTGGCTTTTAAAAAAAAAAAAAAAAAAATTGACAGTCATATGTATCCAGGCTGGCTTTGAACTCAGAGAGATCTACCTGCTTCAGCCTCTTGAGTGCTGGGATTATTGCAGGTGTGGGCTAGCACACAACAGAAACATTTTTATTTAGTGTGTATGTGTGTGTGTTGAATACTTGTGTGTAGGGGGCAAGTTTATTTTTGAAATAAGATCTCTCATTGAACCTGGAGCATACTGTTTTGCTAGACTGGTTGGTCACTAAGCCCCTAGGATCCACCCATCTTTATCTTTTATCCTTGATATTGTAGATGTGCTATACCCGACTTCTTATATATCCCTACTTAATCTGCTGAGTTCCAAATATATTTTAAAATTCTATAGTTCACAGCCCCTTCCCATATTCACAAAAGTAGGCAACCATCACCAGTGTTTGGTTCCAGAACACTGTATCAATGGTTTTTTTTTTTTTTTTTTTGTTTTGTTTTGTTTTGTTTTGTTTTGTTTTTTTTTTGTTAGTAGTCACTCCTAATCTATTCTTGCAGTCTCCTCTGGCACTAACCCTACTTTCTTTCTCTAGACTTACTTATTTTAAGGATTTTAATTTACCGTTTAAAAAAGAACCTTGGCATGGTTGTGCGTCTTGGGTATATAAATATTGAGTTCCAAGCCAGACTGGGCTACACAGTGGGATCCTCATCTAAAAAAGTGAAGCAGACAAAGTGAAAATGATGTGATTTTTATGCAAAACAGCTTTCCACCTACAGTCTCCTCTTGTAGATACCTGAGTATTTATTTGCTGAAGGGTAGCTGTTTGTGATTTGAAAGTCAGGGACAATAAGAGGGATGAGATGTGCCAGAGACTTGATTGTTTGGTATTTAGCTCCTCTTGGGTCGATTGTCACTTAGAAATAATAAGTGTTACCTCTTTTTCTTCTTTGAAGTCTATGGCTCCAGCAGCCTTGTTTCTAGCAGCAAAAGTAGAAGAACAGCCAAAAAAACTGGAACATGTCATCAAGGTAGCACATACTTGCCTCCATCCCCAGGAATCACTTCCTGATACAAGGAGTGAGGTATGTAATTGATTATACTTTTTACAAAAAGTCTTAATTTTCATTTTGTAACCTTGAATCTGGTTGTTAACTTTTCAGTGTTTAATTTTAAAAATAAAAATTTTGTCATAAAATTGAAAGCTTTGTAAGAGCAAAGAAGAATCACATCACCTGCATATGTTTCTTATTATTCCACTCTTTATATGGAAATGTTTTTCCTATTCTCTACTGTTTAAAAATGTTCAGGTGCTTGGTGTGGTGGCACAATGCCTTTAATGCTAGCACTCTTAAGACAGATGGCTGGACCTCTGAGTTCAAGGCCAGCCTGGTTTACAAAGCCAGTTCCAGGATGGCCAGGACTACACAGAGAAATCCTGTCTTGAAAACACACACACACACACACACACACACACACACACACACACACACACACAAAAACCAACAACGAAAAAAGTCTATATATTATTTGATTGTATACTTGTTTATACCTAATCATAACAGAATTGATGTTAGAAGCATTCTTTATGGTGGTGGGTTTGTTTGTTTGTTTTGGGGTTCAGGGTTTCTCTGTAACTCTGGCTTTCCTGGAACTTCCTCTGTAGTTCAGGCTGGCCTTAAAGTCAGAGATCTGCCTGTCTGCCTTCTGGGATCAAAGGTTGTATACCACCACACTCAGCTTCTGGAAGTATGAAAAAGGGTCACTGCCTGACTTAAATATCAGTTGGAAAAAGAACCATATGCCTAGAGATAATAAAATATATGCGTGTTTATTATTAACATTTGATTTCAGGGAAAAGGTTAAGAAGCATTGTAGTCATTAAAGAGTTCAAACCTTTTGTTTATAACTTTCAAGACCGGGGTTTCTCTGTGTAGCCCAGGCTGGCCTCGAACTCAGAGATCTGGAGTCGAAACTTTGAAAAATCATTTCAGATTAAGTTCACCACCCTTTTTCCTATGAGAATATGTTGAATACAGTTTCATAGATACGCTGCTGGATCTTTATCCTGTGCGTGTGTGTGCACATTCCTTGACTTTCATGTGAGTACTTGTGTTAGTGATATTAGGTATTGAATACCTTGGAAAAATATTAGGGAAACATTTTATTGCAAAGCCGCACCCCCAAGCTGGAAGACTTCAATCCTATCACTTAAAAGGCAGAGGCAGGGGGATCTCTGTGAGTCCAAGCTGGTCTACATAGTGAGAGCCTGTCTCTTAAAAAAAAAAAAAAAAAAAAAAAGGGGTGGGGTGGGGGGGCTGGAGAGATGGCTTTGAGAGGTCCAGAGTTCAATTCCCAGCAACCACATGATGGTGGTTCACAACCTCTAATGAGATCTGGTGCCCTTTTCTGGCCTTCAGAACACTGCATACGTAATAAATATATAAATCTTTTTTAAAAAGAAAGAAAAAAGCCACACCCTTAATCCTTGTCTCCCCCCCCCAACCCCCCATGGTTTCTCTGTATGGTGTATGGCTCTGGCTGTTCTAGAACTTAATTTGTAGACCAGGCTGGTCTCACACTCTGCCTCTGGAGTGCTGGTGTGCACCACCACTGCCTGATGTCCTCAGCTTTTTTTAAAAGAAAGGTGGCTCTGGTTTTATCCATTTATTTAAAAAGGTGATTTATTGTGTATTGAGTTAAGTATGTCAATGTGTGTTTGTGTATGTGAGTGCTGGGAATTGAACTCCTGTCCTCTGCAAGGGCATTATATGTGTTACATCACTGCTTGGAGATGTTGAGAATCCTAACACTTACAATTGAGATACAATTAATGGATTTCTATTACTAGGTTATTGAAGTCTCTTATAGGTATATTAATTATGCTTTTTGAAAAAGATATATGGAATTTGTATACATTTTTTCTATTTTTGAAATTTTCTGTATCATTTCAGTTTTAATATATGTGGCATTAAAGTGAGTATTGGTAGCCACTTTTTTTTTTTCACTATAATGCAACATCTGAGGAAACAACCTAAGGGAAGGAAGGATTCCTTCTGGTTCAGTTTCAAAGGTTTCAGCCTATAGTTGCTGTATTATTTTGGACCCAGGTTATGAGACAGACCATCATGTCCAGGAAGAAGCAGGTGGTAGAGCAAAGTGCTCAGTTGGCAGGTAGTAGCCAGAGCAACAGTAAAGAGCCAGGGACAAAATGCTCCCTCTTTCAAGGGTGTGCTTCTGTGATTTCCTTCCTAGTTCTACCTCCTTGTTACTTCTACCTTCCATAATGCTATCAGATTATCACTGTATCCCCACATTAATCCACTGTGGTGGGGGGAGGGTCAGAGCCCTCACGATCCAATTACTTCCTAAGAGCTGGCAGACCTTAAACTTTATTTTTTATTTATTAGTGTGGGGTGTGCCTATAAGCATGTGTGCCAGCCAGTCAGCCACAAACTGGAGGCCAGAATACAACTTTGTGTCTAGCTTTTCTCTTTCTACTTTTTGGGTTTCTGAGAGTAAACTCAGGTTGCCAGGCTTGCTTGACAACATCTTAACTGCTGAACCATTTCTCCAGTCCAACACCAAGACCTTTTAACACATCAGACTTTGGAAGACATATTAAAACCTTAACACTTTTCTTCCTTTTTCCAAAGCACATTCACATAATTATTCAGCCCATATGAGATAGTAATAGGAAGATGTTTGCTCCAGTATACAGAAAAAAGGACTAGCTAGCATAGTTTGTATGTATCCTTACTTGCTTTACTACTGCAAACTTTAGTGTGAAGTTAACTACAATATAGTCTCTGTTAAATCATAAGTACAAAGCTCCAGGACAGTAAGTACAATCAGTTAGATACAGTGCTGTTAAAGGATCTGCAAAAAAGTGATGATTTTTAAAAACATGTTATTTCTCATCTCTAAATTATCTGATTTAATTTAAATTTAAGTTTTAAAATATCAGTCTGAAAATAAAGAAAATTGTGCTTTTTTTCAGTAGCCTTGCACAACCAGTAAAGTGTCTTTTCATGATTCCGTCTCTTCTTGTACTAAAGGGGATAGGGAGAAAGATTATATTCCAGTTCCAACTCTGCCTCTTCTTCCCATACCACTACTCCTAAGTGTTTGCCTACAGTCTGATAAGTGCACCACATGCATGCAGTGCCTGTGAAGGCCAGAAGAGGGGGTCCGACACTCTTAACTGGAGTTACAGATGGTTGTGAGCTGCCATGTGGGAGCTGGGACTCGAACCTAGGCCTTAACTTTTGAGCCCTCTTTCAGTGGCCTCCATTTATACCTTTTATTATTTTGTTTTTTAAAATTGTTTTACCCTTTTGTGGGTAATTTTGTGTAATTTCTGTTTTCTCTCCCATAGGCCTACCTACAGCAAGTTCAAGATCTGGTGATTTTAGAGAGTATAATTTTGCAGACCCTAGGTAAGTTTATTTTCCATAAAACAATGAGAAATTACATATTTCATAATGATTTCATGTTAAAATCTATAAAACTGGGAGAAACTGTTTTGAAGGTTTTGGGAAATGTCTATTACTGGGTAATAGTGGCTGTGGAGGTTGTAGTTTAGCCCTGGTCACAGTGTGGGTATATGGTGATCCTTGAAACAAGTTAGCCAGAATTTTGTTTTTAATTTTTTCTCATTGTAAGATTTATGATATGTCTTTTTGATAGTTTGGCAGTTTTTAACCTGATAAATAAAAATAAAAGACTCAGAGGTCCACCTGCTTCTGCCTCCTGAGCATGCTGGGATTAAAGGCACGTGCCACTGTGCTCCCTTTCTCTGCTTTGATACCAAGCCTGGCCAACCGTGTTTTCCTTTAATGGGCCTGAATTATAATTGGCAAGATTTTTGATTGTTTGCGTTTTGTTTGTCAAGACAGGTTTTCTTTGTAGACCAGGCTGGCTTCAAATTCAGAGCTCTGTCTGCTTTTGCCTTCTGAGTGGGATTAAAAGTTGTGTGCCAGCACAATTGGCTAGTGAAATATTATCTTTATTAGATAGACACAAGTCCGGTCTTAATTCACAGTTAGCAGTTTCCTGTTAAAATAATCTGTATCATGTGATTTGTTCATTATATCTTTATTATGTTTTCATTTTAATAATATTTATTTTTGAGACTTAGTGTAGTTCAGGCTAGTCCTTGAACTCACTATGCAAGATTGGTCTCAAACTTGCAGACACCCTTAGCCTTCTGAGTATGCCACTATGCATGGCTATATTTTTTATTTATTTATGTGCTCAAAGAAATTTTACTTCTGTTACTTTTCTCAATGCACTGGCCCTGTTGTGTAAATTTGGTAATGAGCTTTTGAAATGGGATAAGAAAGCAGTACACATTATATTATGGGGCTGGTGAAGAACAGAGTGAGATGAGAGGAATGAGTTTTCAGATTTTCTAATCCAGCTCTCAGGATTGCCAGACTTGCAGCCAGCCTCAGTCACAGAATGAGGCTCTGTCACACTGTTTTTTCACTGTTAAGCTTGAAGGGACTGAGGACAGCACAGTTAGTAGAATGCTTAGCATTTACGAATCCTAGGCTTGCTATCTCAGTCCTCAGAACTTAGCAAACAGGGTGTGCTAGTACATGCTTGTGTTTCCAGCATTTAGGGGCTGGAGGCAAGAGGATCAGAAATTGAGTAATTCACAGCATCATAGTGACTTTGAGGCCATCCTGGGCTACGTGGTACTGTCTCTTCACACTCTTTACTTCCCTAAATAAAAGAGAGTAAACTTTGGAAGGTACATTTGTTTGTTTGACTTTCCTTCAAACTTGTACTGTATATTCTTTCTAAAACAAATTAAAACGAGTTTTAGATTTATTTTATGTGAGTGTTTTGCCTGCATTATGTCTGTGCCACATGTGTGCCTGGTGCCCACAGAGGTCAGAAGAAAGTGTCAAATCCTTTGGAATTGGAGTTGTGCTGAGAGTCAAACCCAGCCCTCTGCAAGAGCAACAAGTGCTCTAAACCACTGAGGCATCTTCCTAGCTGCCTGAAAAAAAGATTTTTGTATTTGTTTCTTCAGTGGTATTTAAAAAATTTTGAGAAAGATGTGATGAATACTGTGTGATTTTTGGTTCTTGTACAAATACTTTTGGGAGAAAAAAAATGAATAGGCCATTAAATGATTCAGACAAAAGAGGTATAAAATGCTTTTCTTTTTTCTTTTTGAAAGGGTTTGAATTAACAATTGATCACCCACATACACATGTGGTAAAGTGCACACAGCTTGTTCGAGGTAAGTAATTGTAACTGTCTTGAATTGTTTAGTTATTTGGGAGTTGTGCTTGGCTCTGGACTAAGGCACAACACTTTGTCCATACTAAGTGTCCTGCATGGCTAGTGCCAGACACTTGGTTCTGGCCTATTTGGAAGAAGTGATTTTAGATGCTCTTAAACTAATGAAAATGTGAGGTTAGCATTACTTGTCATTCTGACAGTATCACTTGGGAGATAGGCCTCAGGGTATTCCATTGGATAGTTATCTTGATTGTGTTCATTGAGGCCAGAAGGCCCACCTAGTGGACCACCCCATTAATGGAAAAGGGGAGTAGGCAGCAGCTGCATCATCACCTTGTTTCTGACTGGGTGTGGGTGAGCAGCTGCTTAGGCTCTGCAGCCTTGACTTCATCACTGTGATGCCCTGTGCTGTGAGCAGAACAAACCACACAATGTTAGGGTCTTTTCTCAGAGCAGCAGGAAAAGAAACCAAGAGTGTTTGGTTGGGGCTATTTGCCAGTGTAGTAGCAGATTTGGAAAAGTCAGCAAGTCACATGAATCTAAAGTATTTTTTAGAAAATCTTGAAAGTTGGTGGCCTTGAGAGCCAACTCAAGTCAGTAAAAGCACCTGCCATCAGCTGATGACCTTGAGTTTTAACCCTGGATCTCATGGTGGGAGGAAACAACTGACTTCCAAAAGTTGTCCTCTTGACTTCCATACATGCTCTGGCACTCCAGTGACCTACACACACACACACACTCTCTCTCTCTGTCTCTCTCTCCAGTGGCCTCTCTCTCTCTCTCTCTCTCTCTCTCTCTCTCTCTCTCTCACACACACACACACACACACACACACTATAGTGTATTTTAAAGTGGATGATCTGTTTTAGTTCATGTCTAATTAAAGGAAACCCTGTAGATGGAAGGAAGTTTCTGTCCTGCCATGTCCTGTAATGTTTTTGTCTAAAATAAACTCACAGAGGCTTATATTACAAATTGGCCTATAGCTGAGGCTTATTCCTAACAAGTTCTCACAACTTAAATTAACCATAATTCTTATCTGTGTTTTGCCATATGACTTGGTACCTTTTCTCATCTTATTTCCTCTGCATCTGACCGGCAACTGTGTCTCTGCCTTTCTTCTTCCCAGAATTCTACTAGTTTGGTAGCCCTGCTTATACTTTCTGCCTGGCTACTGACCAGTCAGTATTTTATTTATTAAACCAATGTAAGTGACAAATCTTTACAGTGAATGAGAACATTATTCCACATCAAAACCCCAATGATGATATAGAATTCATTTGAACTTATTTCTATTACTGATAATCCTTTTTATATGTATGGGTGTTTTGCTTGAGTGTATGTCTGTGTAGGACATGTGTGTCTAGTACCCTTGGAGGCCAGAAGGGGGCATCAGATCTACTGGAAACTGGATTTACTAGATGGTTGTGAGCCACTATAAAGGTTCTTGGAATCGAACCCTGGTTCTCTGGAAGAAAGGCCAGTGCTCTTAATCATTGAGCCATCTCTTCAGTCCTGATTTAACTAATTTTTAAATTGTTTTAATTTTTGAGACACATTCTCACTGTGTAGCCCTGGCTGAACTGGAACTTATTAAGTAGACCAGGCTGGCCTGGAACTCAAGAGTTCTGCCTTCTAAGTGCTAGAATTAAAGGTGTGCACCACCATACCCAGCCCTGTTGTTTTGTTTTTGCTATAGAGTTTAAACTTAGGGCCTTGTATATGTTAGGCAAGTGCTCTGCCATTGAGTTACACCCTTAATCCTTAAAGGTTCCTTTTATTTAAATAGTATTAATAATATCTGGAGTGCTAATTGTGGTGATACACACCTATATTCCCAGTACTAGGGAGGCTGAGGCAGGAAATTATTGAACATTCCAAGCTAGCCTGGGGTGCATAGTAAGACCTATTCAACCACAAACAGCAAACAAGGAACATGTGAGGCTTGTTTCATATTATTAAAACTTAATTTTTTTTTTTATGTGTGTTGGGGGTGGGAGGTGTGGGGATGGTATTCATGTGCCACTTGGCATGTCTGGAGGAGGCTAGCAGCTAACTTTTGGGAGTCATTTCTCTTCATGTGGATCTAGGGGTTGAATTCAGGTTGTCAAGGCTGGTGGCAAGTATGTTTCCTCATTTTACCTGTCCAAGTTTTTTGAGTTTTGTATAGTTTAAAAGCATTGAAGTAGCTGAGTAGTTAGTGGTGCTGCACACCTTTAGAGGCAGGAGGATCTCTGAGTTTGAGGACAGCCTGATGTACACAGAGAAACTCTATCTTGAAAAAAAAAAACACCCAGAAAAATATTGGGAATCAGAGTAGAACATGTGCTTGGCCTGAAAAAGGTCCTCGGTCCAATTGGGGTCCCATTTCACCCTTTCAAAGCCTCTGATGTCCTTCCTTGGGTAGAGTGTAAACACTGCGTACTCAGGCATTATGTTGCCCATTTTGTCACTGTCTGTAGTACCTTACAGCTAATACTAAGTATTTACTACATGTTTGTCAAGAAGAATGGAATTAATAACTTCTTTTTCTTTTGTTTTTGTTAGCAAGCAAGGACTTAGCACAGACCTCTTACTTCATGGCAACCAACAGGTTTATATTTTTATTTTTTTTTCCTTCTGTTTTGGGGTTTGGAATTTGGTTGGGCTGGATTTGTCACTTTTTGAGGGGTGTATATAGGATTACTTAGTAAACTAGAGCTGAAAGACCATAGAAATAATCTTTGATACAGTGTATTGTAGACAGTTCTCTGGAGAATATGGATTTTTCTGCAGATTCTTTGTACCTTGCATTTATATTATACCTTTTAATTTGTTAGGATATTGTAATTATTTAGCTTACCCAATTCTATGTATTAACTTTGCTATAAAATGTCCAGGAGCATAATTCTGAAAATTCATGTAATTTTAGGGGTTGTTGATTTTTCTCTGCCCAAGCAATGGGCACTTAGCATATACGAATTTGCAATATATTTTTCTTTTAAAAAAAGTTGTTAGTTTATAACTTGTTCTGCTAAGTGACTTGCTTGTCCTCAGGTCTGGTTTCCCGTATTGTTTGTTCAGAGAAACTAATGTCCTCAGTCATGAAATGTAAGATTTTCAGTTTTAGTAAGTGGATAAAAAGTGCTATGGATGTAACTCAGTGTTTCCTAGTGTGCACCAATTCCTGAATTTAATTCCCCAGTGCTGTGTATATTGAATATGCTTGGCCCATGCCTGTGATGCCAGCATTCAGGGCCCAGGGGCAGGAGAATCAGTAGATGGTCATCCTCTGGACTATGGCAATCAAGGCCGTTGTGTGCTATGTGAGACCCCATCTTATATAGACAGGCACATACACAAATGAGAGGGAGGAGAAATGAAGTTTCTGAAGAGTCAGGTCTGTACTTCTCAGCATTTGGAAGACAGGATTGCTATGGGTTGGAGGGCAGGCAAAGACTGAGTCCCTGTCTAAAAACCAAATGAAATCTTTGTGTGTGGGGATAACTATCAGGTATATTTATACTTGAGCAATTATTTTTTTTTTTTATTGTGTTTTGTGTTTTTCCTTTTTTTTTTTTTTTTAAGTAAGGTCTCATGAACCAGGCTAGCCTTGAACTTTGATCTCCCATGTGTTGGAACTATAGGCATCTGATACTGTGTTGGCTTTTTCTGTTTTGGGTTTTGTTTTGTTTTTTTTTTTTTTTTTTGTTTTAGTTTTGGTTTATGACAGGGTCACAGTAAGTAATTCTGGTCTTAAAGTTTGCTTGTAGACCAAGCTAACCTCAAACTCACAGAGATTGGCCAGCCTCTGCCTCCCAATTGCTGAGATTAAAGGCAGGCACCACCATAGTTGGCTACCTACTTCTTTTTCTTTTATTTTTGTTTTTGTTTTCACTAGTCAGTGTATAATAGATTGTGTGGTAATAGGAACTTTAGAACCATTAACCTGACTGGTATTTTATTAGAAAATCATACTTAGGGCCTGGAGTGATGTCAGGTTCAGAGCAGCACATACAGCTCTTCCAGAGGACTTAAGTTCCATTCCCAGCATCCATTGTGGGGGGAGGTGCACCACGGCCTATAATTCCAGCTCCAGGAAGTTTGACACCTGATCTTCCTGGATACCTTTACTCCTGTGCATGTACCCCCATGTAGACACACATAATTGAAATTAAATCTTTTAAAGAAAGGAAAGAAGAAAATCACATTATGTGCTGTATCAGAGCACAGGATAATTCTTGCCCTTCTCACTCTCCTGTGGTTTTTGTTTTTTGTTTTTTTTTTTTTTGTGTTTTTGTGGTTTTTGTTTTTTTAGTAATGGAGAGTTTTAGTTTAGGGTTGAGAATTGAGGGCTCATGACACTCTCTGTTTCCTTCCCTTTGATGTCAGCCTGCATTTGACCACATTTAGCCTGCAGTACACACCTCCTGTGGTGGCCTGTGTCTGCATCCATCTGGCTTGCAAGTGGTCCAACTGGGAGATCCCAGTCTCAACTGACGGGAAGCACTGGTGGGAGTATGTTGACGCCACCGTGACCTTGGAACTTTTAGATGGTAAGTTTTAGCGTAAGGGACCTGGAAACAAACTTCTTGATTTGTCACATGTCTGGCCAAATGTGACTTGATTCGGATGAAAACAGTGAGTTAGTTGAGGTTATTCTTGCTTTATTACCTTCTTGTCTCTGAGCACTTCTTGAATGTTTTATTTGTAGAGTTGACACATGAATTTCTACAGATTCTGGAGAAAACTCCTAGCAGGCTGAAACGCATTAGAAACTGGAGGGTAAGAATTATTGCTGATAATGTATTTTTTTCTTTAACTTTGCCAGAATCGGATATGTGCACTAGGTTTGGAACTTCCCTTTCTTACTTAACAGTAATTATGACTTGGTAGCGTGAATACTAGCTAAAATGTCAGTCTGTAGGGGCTTTGCTTTGGGTTCTATGCAAAATGTGCAAATTGCCTTTTGTACAATTTCTTTGTCAATTGCTTTGGCTGAGTGTTTTATTTCGTTTGTTTGCACACATGTATTCACATGCAAGTGTACATGGCTGTGAGCAAACAGTTGGAAGCCAGGGGTTGATTTCTGTGTTTTCTTCTATTGCTCTCTATTATTTTTGAGACATGGTCTTTCTTACTGGACCGGGAGCTCATTGAGCTAGACTGGCTGGCCTGAACTTCAGGGATCAACCTGTGTCTGCCTGTCTGTCTCCCTCTATCCGACTCATACTGGATCACAGATACTTGGTACTGCACTGGGCTTTTACGTGGGTGCTGGGGATCTAAGCTCAGATAGATACTCATGCTTACAAGGCATGCACTGTATCCCCTGAGCCATCTCCTCAACTCCAGTTGTGTATTTTCAGTACACTGTTGACTTATGGTAGAGGGGCAAGGTATGTTTGGAATTACAAGGGTTGGTTGTAATTTTGTCCTTAATATTAGCCACTTAAAAATGTTTTATTATTCTCCTTTTTTCCTTTTATCCCTCCCTTCAAAAAGATTTATCATTGCATTTGAGCATGGTTGTACATGTCTTTAATCCCGACATTTAAGAGACAGATCTCTTTGAGCTTGAAACCGGCTGGGGCTACAAAGGAAGACTCTGTGATGGGTGGTGGCGGCGGCGGTGGGGATATATTATTATTGTGTGTGTGTGTGTGTGTGTGTGTGTGTGTGTGTGTGTGTGTGTGTATGAGTATGAGTGCTTGTCTGCATTTATAAGCATGCAGTGCCTGTGGAGGCCAGAAGAGGGTGTCAGGTGCCCTCGAACTGGAGTTATAAGTGGTTAAGAGCTGCTGTGGGTGCTGAGAACTGAATCCAGATCTTCTGCAAGAGCAGTGGGTACTCATAACTTCTGAGCCATCTCTTCAGCTCAGGATTTTCTTTTATATGGGTGATAGTCTAAAGTTGTAATGCAGATATTTTTAGTTTTATGAATAAGAATAAAGTTATTCCTTTTCCCCACAGCATCAGATAGATGAACTTGGGGTACATCTCAGGGATAGGATAAATACTTAGCATGCATAAGGCCTTGCACTCAGTCCTCAGTGCCCATAAAGAAAGAATAAAGCCTCCTGAAACCCTTTTTTAAAAACAGGGTCTTATGTACATCCAGCAGGCCTTAAGCCTTGCTGTTAAGAGGCTGGCTGGCCTTGGACATCTTATCATTCTGCCTCTACTTAACGGCTGGGACTGCAAGCTGTTCCACCATGCAAGAGTGTCTTACTAGTCCAGACTGATTCTCCTGAGTCTAAGGAATTATAGATAATGCTTGCCTCTACAAGTTTAGGGTTAGATGTAGACTTAAGAGCATGTACTTCATATTTATTTTCATATAAAACCTCTCCAAATTTTCTAGAATTTAAAGACTAAAGACATCATAGTTACACTAAGTGCTTAAGCATGGCTTTTTTTTCTAGGTATGATGGTACATGCCTTTAAGCTCTTAAGAGGTAGAGACAGGTGGGTCTCTGGGAGTTTGAGACTTGCCTGATCTATGTATATAGGGAGTTCCAGACCAACCAGAGCTGCATAGAGAGGTTCTGTTTCAAAATAAAAGCAAGAAATTCTACCTCCAATACATACAAAGGAAACTAACAAACAAACAAAAAAAACCACCAAAAGATTCTTAGTTGATGGTTTGGTGTACTTAAATGTAGTAAATTACCTAGCATGAAGATATTTTATTTGCTTCATTTTAGGCATACCAGGCTGCCATGAAAACTAAACCAGATGACCGAGGAGCAGATGAGAATACATCGGAGCAGACAATCCTCAATATGATTTCTCAGACCTCTTCAGACTCAACTATTGCAGGCTTAATGAGCATGTCAACTACTTCTACTACAAGTGCAGTGCCTTCCCTTCCTGTTTCTGAAGAGTCCTCCAGCAGTCTAAGTAATGTGGATATGTTGCAAGGCGAGCGATGGCTGTCTTCCCAACCTCCCTTTAAACTAGAATCTTCTCAGGGTCATCGGACGAGTGAGAATTTAGCACTTATTGGAGTTGATCATTCCTTGCAACATGATGGTTCAAATGCATTTGTTTCCCAGAAGCAGACTGGTAAGAGCGTACCATCGGCTAAAGTTTCACTTAAAGAATACCGTGCAAAGCATGCAGAGGAGTTGGCAGCTCAGAAGAGACAGCTGGAGAATATGGAGGCCAATGTAAAGTCACAGTATGCATATGCTGCCCAGAATCTCCTGTCACACCATGACAGTCATTCTTCAGTTATTCTGAAGATGCCCATTGAAGGCTCAGAAAATCCTGAACGCCCTTTTCTGGAAAAGGCTGACAAGTCAGCTCTGAAAATGAGACTCCCGGTGGCTGGTGGAGATAAAGCAGCCTCAAAACCAGAGGAGATAAAAATGCGCATTAAAGTCCACTCTACAGCTGATAAGCACAATTCTGTAGAAGACAATATCACCAAGAGCCGGGAGCACAAAGAAAAGCACAAGCCTCATCCATCCAATCACCACCACCATCATAATCACCATTCACACAAGCACTCTCACTTACAGCTTCCCGTTGGTACTGTGAACAAACGGCCAAGTGATCCAAAACATAGCAGCCAGAGCAGCAGCACCTTAGCACACAAAACCTATAGCTTGTCTAGTACTTTGCCTTCTTCGAGCTCTGCACGTAAGAGGGGTCCCCCAGAAGAGACTGGGACAGCAGTGTTTGATCATCCAGCCAAGATTGCCAAGAGTACTAAATCCTCTTCCTTGAATTTCCCCTTCCCACCTCTTCCTACAATGACCCAGTTGCCTGGGCATAGCTCAGACACAAGTGGCCTGCCCTTTTCACAGCCTAGCTGTAAAACTCGAGTTCCTCATATGAAACTGGATAAAGGCCCTCCTGGGGCTAATGGTCACAACACAACTCAGTCAATAGATTATCAAGATACTGTGAATATGCTTCACTCCCTGCTCAGTGCCCAAGGTGTTCAGCCCACTCAGCCCCCTGCATTTGAATTTGTTCATTCTTATGGTGAATATATGAATCCACGAGCTGGAGGAATCTCCTCCAGATCATCCAATACAGACAAACCTCGACCACCACCCCTCCCATCAGAACCACCTCCACCACTTCCACCTCTTCCTAAGTGAAAAAAAAAAGGCAGAAACTTCAAAAACAAAAACTTTTGTTTTTGGGTATTTTTGTTTTTATTTTGACTACTGATACTGGACTACGAAAATTACATCCCTTATGAAATATGTCACCCTTGGACTAAAGAGTAAATTGATACTGAGACAGGTGGGAGGGTGGTGGAGGGCCTCAGTTATATCTGCTGCCTCATACATCTATTTTCTTATAGTTTGTACTGGTATCAGAGAGGTAGGATTATGTTGAAGCTGTGAAGGATTAAGAACACTCTGTTCTTGGCCTCTCCTCATCTGAATGGGGTTGATTGGAGTAGTTATCTTCCCTCTTCTTGTTGGAACTGAAACAAACATGGGGGTGATCAAGCAGTTGTGTTTAACATATCAGAAGAGAGGAAGTATTTAAACGCCAGATCTTTAAGAGACTTAAAAAATAATTTAAAGAAAGTAAGTTATCTGTTTAGTTTTTTTATATAATCGGGAATGGGAAGGGATTTTGCTGTGTGTATGAGGTACATAGCAATGACTGAGGGTGGGGGTTGGAGGGTGGGTGTGTGTGCTGGGTGGGTGGGAGGGTAGGCTTTTGGCCAAGAGTGAAATAGGCTCAGGCCACTTGAAGTATTGAGACCTTTAAAGTATGTGTGTGTATGTGAATGCGTGTGTATGTATATGTGTGTGTGCGCGTGTGTTTAAAAATCATGTTACCTTTTTCTTCTCACTCTACCATTTTCACATCCCAGCATTCTACTAGAGAGCATGGTTGGCCTTGAGGACATGGAGAGGCTTAATATTGACATTGTAAATCATCCCCACACTGCAGCACGTTCTCATGTTGTAATTGAGTAGTAGCCCTCTAGTTTCTAGTTTGGACAGATGTTGCCAATGACCTGACTCTCTAGCACTATTATGAAAACTTCCCCTTTATTCCTTTTTGTGTTTTCAATGCAGATGGAGGTGGGATTGAGGAAGAAGCTTGTAGAGCAAGGCTGGCTACTGCCCTACAGAATGGGCCTTTTCGGTTGGGCTTTGGGAAAGCTCAGGTCTCTAAGGGAAGAAGGGTGTGCCTTGCTTTGCATGCCCTGTCTGTCGGAGACCAGACCATGTGTGGTAACAGGTTTGGGAAAAGCCATGCAGTAATGATACTAAAGACAATGAAATTGTGATTTGGGATTCTGAAGACTTTGCATTTTAAGTTACATTATGAATGTAATTCTTGCTTTTTATCTGTCTAATGCAAAACAACTGCATACTTGTGTTTGCAGCCTGTATGACTTCAGAGATGAGTGTGAATTTAACAGCGCTGGTGTAATGAGTGAGCAATCCTAGCCAACAGACACTGTTGTGTTTAGATTGTTTCTTTTGGGTGGCTTTTGATTCTAGACAGAAATTCTAAAAAGTTTTGTTTAAAAAAAGTAGATCAGGAATCCTTTTATTGGGCTTGATTAGTCCAGATATTAGGGGATATTTTTTGATAAAGGAAGTCTTTGAAGAGATAATGGCTAGGAAAACATTCTACGCCAAGCTGTCTAACTGAAAATGCTTTCTAGCTATTTGGTTCGTTGCATGAAAAGAAAAAATAAATAAAAAATATATATATATACACACACATATGTGTATACACACACGTACGTACGTGTGTGTGTGTGTGTGTACATTTTTTTATGCTATGGAAAAGATGGTGCTATGAAATAATTTGTCTCTTGTTTTAATTAGTGAAGTTTCTGTCATGCCAAGTAGTCTTTAGGGAGAGGTAAGATTCTTTTCACTGAAAGTCATAGGGAAACAGAAGCTGTATGGTGCTGCTTGCCAGGAACAGACTAGGAAAAACACTGAGGCAGTTACTATTGATGTGATGGCCCAGTAGAGAAGAATGTATAGGAGGACTATATCTTATGGCAATTTTGTGGTTCTTAATCTGCATGTTTGAATTGTCCGGAGTGCCTGCCATTGCTGAGCAAAACCAGGAGCTCCTTCTTGCTAATCTATAAGCCAGTGATATTTTTTGGTATGCAACTTTTAAAGTGACATTTTCTTCTTGGTATTTCCTGTATTGTGCAAGATAGATGTGTCATCATGATTGCTAAATTTAGGCTTGGTATTTGTTTAGATTTTGTTTCCCATCCTGACCTTTCCAAAAGGGAATGTGCCATTTAGTTTGCTTCTGTATTTGTGGGATTGATAATAATTGATTTGAGAAAATGTTCTGGGTTTTAATTCTAATTAATGTCATGTATTTTCTAATCACATGCACTCCCTTACCACACAGTCTGTCATATTTGCTGTTATCGTGGTTCTTCATGGTAATACTGTAGTTAAATTTCCTAGAACTCTGTCAGTAGTGAACTAGAAAAAAGTGCTTACTAGAGTCTAAAGAGCTACGTCCCACTATAGTCTGGTCTTTCTGCTGTAGATCAACATTGAATGTGGTTTGTTTATAGACTTTTCCTGTATTATTTCCTCCTGGTATTGTCTACAGTGCCTAGGTCCTGAACCTTGTTGTGGGCTCAGCATGAACTGCTGCATTACTTTTGGGTTAGCAGATGCACCTGCCAGCTAGCATGCATATTGTCCAGTTTCTGTATAAATAAGGCTTTTAAGCCAGTATGTGTGTCTCCCACCTTCAGACCTTCAAAGGTTGAGAAGTAGTATTTATATAGCAAGTCAGCTTTGTAAACACTGCTCTTTGTTTTTTTCTTTTAATCAATCTAAACTGTCAAGAATAAGTGACAGTGGTAAGCAGGCTTGGAGCCTCAACTTCTGTAAATCTCATTCCTAAAGTGTTGCTTGACTCTTATGTTGGCAGAAATAAATACCTGTGGATTGTCTTTAGGGCTTTTAATCATACCTGTGTTGTTGGCTAAAATTTGGTGAATCATTAACTAAAGCCAGTGTGGTCTTCTGAAGTATTTAGTTATGCCTTTTGGGTTTAGAAAATAGCTAAATATTAGTCTACTTTTCTCATTCATGAGTCATTGTGTTTTGTATCTGAGACCCTCAGCATTCTTCCCTTCTAGTAAACGATTTTAGTGTTTTGGTTTAGTGTATCCCACATATTTCTATATTGTTAGGTTCACCGGCAGTGATAGAAAAATTGAAATCTCCAATTGCAAACAGCAGTAGATTTAAGTATTAAAACAAAATCATGGTAACATCACTGCTGGGTTTCCTGAAGCCTTTGCAACCTAATTCCTCATTACTTCTCACACCTTGCTTCTAGACAAAGGCAATTGGAGGGGTCCTATCTATCCTAGTATGGTTGGAATCTAAATATATACGTTTCCATTATTTTGGGAACTGATTATTTTTTTAAAGATTTTTTTTCTTTTGTTGATGAGTTATTTTGATACTCATGCTAGGAAAAGTGAAAAACTAAGACATCTTGAGATTGGAATGCCTATTTTATTCTCCTGGGTTTGGGAGAATTTAAGCAGTCTATGCAATCCATCAGTTAGTGAGAAATAGCTTCCCAACATCCCCCCACTAAGCTTTCAAGGACTCATACCTCCCCAAATGCATTGGCGTTGATTGAGTTTTGGATCTTGATGGTTTAGGAAGCATTCTTGTTGCACCAAGTTGTCATTTATTTCTTCCTCCTCAGTGGATGTAAGTTTGAAAGAAGAATGATACTGTAATCTTACTTGATGGAGTGGTCTAAATTCAGAATTTGTTTTCTAAGTGGGTGAACTCTGCGTTTTAACATTTCAAAAGTTTTTAACATGAACTTGGCAATGGAAAGGAGAGGGAAAGAACCATTGTCTGCTTTTTCCCTTTAAGAGTGAGTATTCCTGGCGTATGAAGAGAAACTCACTGGTTTGTGTTGCCACGCTTATTGTGGAGAGGGATGCTTGACAGCATGTTAATTGAAGCCAGAGCAAGTATGTCTCATCAGGTGATCTGGAAATGCCAGTGGGAGTGGAGGAAGTGCTTAGCTGATGGCTGTAATGAAATAACTTAGAATAGAAGTGCTGTCTGACCTAAAAATGCAAAGAAAATAGTTAGTGTAGGAGTAACTTAGGGTTCTGACCTCGGAACTGACCTATATTACCTTACTTTCCACACATAAAACTGTCCATTTTCTTATCAGACCAAAGAACAAAAAGAAAAAGTAAAATGAGAAATAAAGTAACACACTTTACCAGTTTATGTCACTTGTCACTCAGGTACAATTTTGTGGTGAGCTTTTTTTTTTTTTTTTTTTTTTTTGTCTGATTTTTGTACTGCTCAGCATATTATTCTGCTGTTGCCTCTGTCCTCCGTGGGGCACCTCAGTTTTGGGTGCTACTTCTGGGATCTCTACTGCTGTTAGGTGAATGACGATAGGATGTAAGTGACCATTATCATAAGGGCTCTTTGTAAAAAAAACTTTAAAAACTCAAAAAAAAAAATTTAAAGAAGGATATTGTATACATTTTATAGTCTGGCTATCAGTTTGATATCTTGCTGTCAAGTATGTTTCTCAATCTGTATTTATCCATCCCATCAATAAACGTTAATGATGAAATACCTGATTGTATGTGCCATGTCCTTAAATTAGTCTTTGACTTACTTTGTTGAATCATCCTTTTGGTTTTGACAGTATTAAGTTCCTATCATACAGTATCCTAGGACATTAAGTCCATTGGGAGAACTAAGAAAAAACTACAACAGTGAACCTGGTGTTGTATGTTGTAGTCAGAGGGGGAAGAAATCTTCACTCTATACGGTTGCATGAGTACTTGGAAGGGTAAAAAATGATGGCTTTACTATGATAGCAACACTTAAAAGCACTCATCTAGCAAGCATTAGATACGATTCATGATTGTGTCTTTGAAAACATGAACTATTAAAATAGCCACAATGATGTCTTTGGTAGACAGTTTGTTTTTGTTCTAGACTATATATTGTTTCACTATGTAGTCCAGCTGGCTTTAAATGGCATCCTCTTGCTACACCCAAGAGTGTGAGTGCTGAGATAGATTACTGACATGTACTACTACATCTGGTAGAATTACATTTTGAAGAAGGAAAGTTAAATTCTTGTAAATACTATATTAAGTAGATTTTACAATTTACACACTTAGAGGAAAAGAACTGTGAACAAGTACATCAAACTTTGGGATTACCAGTAGTTTAAGATCTTTAAGGCTGGGTGGTGGTGGCATGCATCTTTAATCCCAGCACTCCAGAGGTAGAGGCAGGCAGATAGGAGTTTGAGGCCAATCTGGTCTACAGAGCAAATTCCAGGACAGCCAGGGCTGTTGCTGGATTTCCTTTACTGCCTGTTTGGTCCCACATGATACATTAATTATAGAACTGCTGGCCAATGACTAGTGCTTCTTATTGGCTAGCTCTTTAATTATTAACTCATTTCTATAAATCTAAGTATTTTCATGTAGTCTTACCAGAGAAGGGTCCGGACCTCTTTATGGTCTACATGGCAGACTCTGCCTACTTTTCCTAGAATTCTTCTTGTCTCCTAGTCCTGCCAGTCTTAACTGCCTTATTGGCCAACAATAAGAGAAACACATACAGAAGGACTTCCCCTATCACAGGGCTATACAGGGAAACCCAGTCTCAACCAAACAAAGAATCCCCCCCCCCCCCCAAAAAAAAAAAAAAAAAAAGATCAAGAGGGAGGCTGATGAGATACTCTAGTGGGTAAAGGCACTCAGTGCCAAGCTTCACAATCCCTGGAATCCACATAGTAGGAGAAAATTGATTCCCACTGGTTACCTTTAACTTCCACACATGCTTCTCCACACCCAAATAAATACAGTAAAAATAAGGAAGAGGACACTTAAAACGATTTATTATTTTTATTAAATACACACTGGTGTATTACCTGCATGTATGTCTGTGTGAAGGTGTCAGATCCCCTGAAACTAGTTAGAGACTATTGTGAGCCACTGAGGGGGTGCTGGTAATCAAACCCAGAGCAGCCAGTGCTCTTTACTGCTGAGTCACCTCTTCAGCCCTGTGAAGAAAGACACTTAAATAAACAAACAAAAAAAGTGGCTTCTGGTCATTCCCTGTGTTTTCTTTATTTTGGGTAGAGGAAGGGACAGGAGAGGACAGTCTCAACAACTTAGGAGATAAGGGTAGCTTCAAAAATGCTAAAAGTAATGAGAATTGTAATATATAATGAAGATAGGGTCAGTGGAATGTTTGACTTGGGAGGGCAGAGTTACTGTGTGGAAACAGGAGGAACAGGAAATCCATGGGCCATGTAGACATTCCATGGGGAGGTCTGCTGGACAGATGGATGTAGAATGTGTCATTCAAAGTTCTCAGGATAGTGGTTCCTGCGTGGGAGCCATCAGTTTATGAATGGGATAAAACAGGTAACGAGAGAAAACTATAAAGTGTTCAAAACTTGGGGTGTGGGTGGATGATTATCAAGAGACTCAAATGACAAGAATGGGTGACTGAGGAAAGGGAACTAGAGTAAAGAGATCTAGAAAATGTTTTAAGAAAGAAGGCTCAGTGGTAAAGTGCTCCGTGCACAAGCATGAGGACCTGAGTTTGGATATCCAGCACCCACATAAACATCATTTGAATAACAAGGTGAAAAGTCATGTATAAACTTGGCTGTTGATTTGCTGTGGGGAGAATTCTAGCTGGAGAGGATTCAAAAGAGTGTAAGAGCTGGGAATGACGACACACACTTGTATCCCCAGCACTAGAGGATGAGGTGAAATACCTATTTGAGGCTAGACTGCTCTGTATAAAGAGATCCTGTCTTAGATAGCAATAGAGGCAGTAGCCTGAAGGAGAGGTAAAATAAACTTTTCGTTACTTTTTTTGTTTTTGTTTTTGTTTTTCGAGACAGGGTTTCTCTGTATTGCTTTGGAGCCTGTCCTGGAACTAGCTCTGTAGATCAGGAGATCTCTTGAACTCACAGAGATCCTCCTGCCTCTGCCTCCTGAGTGCTGGGACTAAAGGAGTGCACCACCACCGCCCTGCTTTTTTGTTACTTTTTAAATGTGAAAAATTACAGCATGAACGTATGCTTTTGGAAGAGTCAGAAAACAGATGTGGGGTGAATTCCTTGAGTAGATGGCATGGAATCTTGCATGGCCAGTTAAATCACAATGACCTGAAAGGCAAAAAATAAAACAAAAGGCAAATTTGTAGGCGTTGAGTGAATAAGGTAAGAGCTCATTAAAGTTCAAAAAAAGGGTCCTGGCTTGCAGTCCTCATCAGGGATATAACAGCTTAGGGCCGAAAAAGGCAAAACGTAATAGGAGCTACCTGGTGGAAAAGATTGTAGGATGCTCAGAACTTAGAAGCAGGGAGCTGGGGAGGAGCGGGTTCGGTGGGTTAACAGCACAAGTTGTGAGCTACATTTGGTTGCAGATTCTTTATGATCAACACTGTAATCTCACCTGCTCTTTGGTTCATGGCTAAACCTCATTTAAATGATTCAGACAGCAGATACAGAAGGCTAGAGTATAAACGGAATAAACTAAAACAGAAAGACTGTCTGGAGAGCGCTGGATTTAGATAGGAGGTAAGGTTGGAATATTTAACGGACCATAAAACCAGAATAGCCTGCCATTCATATAAAATACACTATCCAGCGTGAAGTTAGAGAGGATTTTAAAGAAGCTAGGTCTGCACACCAGAACTCATTTTAATTTTCAGTCACCTCATCCGTAAAACGGAGAAAATAATTTCTACTTCTCAGGGATGTTATAAAAAAAAAAAAAATTAGTTCATATGATTCCCGAGTCAGCCAAGAAAGTGTTCTACTTGAAATGACCAGAACATGAGTTGGACCGTTCACCATAGAAAACTAATAAAGCCATTTCATGTATAAACAGGGCCAGCCTCCGTCCAATTTTCTATCTGCAGTGTAGGGACAGTAACGAGGTAGCTGCCTGGAAACACAGGAGTCCAAAGCCTTCAGAAAAAGAACCACGTTGAGAGGAAAAAATATCTGGACCTGGCCACTGCCGGGGCCCGTCTTTCCAATGAACCACTCACGGACCGGAGTTTCTGACAGACAGTTCGTCTCAGCCACTCCCGTTGCGCGGTTTTTTAATGTTCCGCCCCTCCATCTGAGGTGTTGGCCTTGACCAATAGAAGCGCATCATGGGTAGAACAGCGGCCAATCAGCGTTTAGGGGCCCTAGGGCCGCGCTCCGAGCGGCCAGAGCGGCCAGAGGGCGAGCTGCGCGACGCAGCACGGCGGGGAGGTAAGATGGCGCCGTTCTTGTCTCGTCCCCTTCGCTGCCGTTAGGTGTGCTGCTCACCCTTCCCGTCAGGTCAGCGCAGCACTACGTCTCCTGCGGCGTCGAGGGTCACTCTTGATGGCTAAGCTTTGGGGAGCCGGTTTTTCCGGTGGTCGGGAGCCGTACGACAAGATGGCGCTCGCAGGACGCCTAGGCTTTGCGGCAGGGGCCGGGAGCTCCGGGGCGTCCGGGGACAAAGGCGGCAGCGTGCCGGCGCGTGGGGGCAGGGTGCGCCGTTCGCTGCAGGGGTTCCTCGTGGGGCTGGCGCCGCGCTTCCGGTCGATTGCTGTGTTGCTTCGGCCGACGTGGTGGGGGCCAGAGCGGCTAGCGGGTCTGGAGAAGGGGAGGGTGGGTTAGCCACCGGGCGCCCCGCGGAAGAACGCAGACAAGGACTTCTGGCACGGTTAAAGCCATTTTGGTCTTTTGTGTGACATGCTTTCCCCCTTCACCTCCCGCTCTTTGCAGGTTTTGGTATGAACAGGATTCGGATTCACGTCTTGCCAACGAATCGGGGGAGGATCACCCCAGTGCCCAGATCACAGGAACCCCTTTCTTGTTCGTTTACTCACCGCCCATGCTCTCAACCGCGTCTGGAGGGGCAGGAGTTTTGCATCAAGCATATTCTTGAAGACAAGAATGCACCCTTCAAACAATGTAGTTACATATCGACGAAGAATGGAAAACGGTGTCCCAGTGCTGCCCCCAAGCCCGAGAAGAAAGATGGGTATGTGTAGATCCTGTGTGTGTGTGTGTGTGTGTGTGTGTGTGTGTGTGTGTTGGTGCCTTCAGTTTCTCAGTTGTCAGTGCTGTGTCACCGAGTGTGTGTGTGTGTGTGTGTGTTGGTGCCTTCAGTTTCTCAGTTGTCAGTGCTGTGTCACCGAGCCCTTTTCAGCGCCTTAGGTTTTCATGTATTTATTTTAATAAGTGATTTTATCTTATGTACATTGGTGTTTTGCCTGCACGTGTCTTCGTGAGGGCATCAGATCCCCGGGACCTGGAGTTACAGACAGTTGTGAGCCGCCATATGGGTTCTTTGGAAGAGCAGCCAGTGGTCTTAACCGCTGAGCCATCTCTCCAACCCTAGATTTTTTTTTTTTTTTTTTTTTTACTGCGATTTGAAGCATTATTTCCAGTTCGTAGTGTGCTGTGTGTGCAGAGGTCAGAGGACAGTTGGCTGGAGTCAGTTGTACTTCGTGGTTACCGACGCTTGACCCATAGAGTCACCTTGCCGGCCCCTTTGTTGTTTCCTTTTAAAAAGACATTCTCCCACTATGCTCGAAACTCTCCATATGGACCACACTGGCTTGGAACACTTTGGGTAACCCTTTACAATTTTTTGTTTTTCGAGAAAAATTTTCTTTGTAGCTTTGGAGCCTGTCCTGGCACTCGCTCTGTAGACCCTGCCCTTTACAATTTGAAAATCTTTTTTATATGTATGGGTGTTTGGTATGCATGTATGTTTGTGTTCCACGGTCATGTTTGATGCCAGCAGAGGCCAGAAGAAGGCATTAAGTCCCCCTGGTACTGGAATTACAGATGGTTGTTGGGAATCAAATCCTCATCCTCTACGAAGAGCAGCCATTGCTCTTAACACTGAGCCTTCTCTTCAGCTCCATCTTGGCAACATTTTGGCCTTGAGAGTGCTGGAGATTATAGGTATGGACCAAACCCTGGTCCCCTGCCCCTGCCCCTGCCTTCCTTGTCTTTCCCCCCCCCCCCCCCCACAGGGTCAATGCTCATAGCCAGGCTGCTCTGGAATTCATTATGTAGATCAGGCTTTCCTCCAACATGAAGCACTCCTGAGTGCTATGGTGCACCAACCTGCATGTCTCTGGTTCAGTTTTAAAGTGAAAGAGGAACATAATATGTAGACTTGGTGCATTCTGTGGAGGATTAAGGATATATTCTTTGGGAGGGGGATTAAAATGATAAGAACTGAAGCTGGGAGGTGGTGGCACTCCTTTAATCCCAGCACTGAGAGATAGAGGCAGGTGGATCTCTTGAGTTCCAGGATAGCCTGTCTGAAATACCCTCCCCAATAGTGAACACTGGAAGGACACCTGAGGCAGGGTCATTTAGTTAATTGCTTGCTTGTGCGGGTTTTTTTTTTTTTTTTTTTTGGAGACAGGTTCCGACTAGTCTGGACTAATTTGGAACTCTTCTTGATTCTCCTGCCTCAGGGATTAATTACTGTCTGCACAACCATACTCAGCTTTAAATTAAAAAAAAAAATTATTACGTGGTTACACATGCTACCACACACGCTAGCACACACACGTAGTCAAAGGACAACTTCTCAAGTTGGTTCTCTCTGCCATGTGGGTGGGGATGGAGCTCAGGTGGTTAGGCTTTGGCAGGCAGTAGGTGCTTTTGTTTGCCGAATCATTGAATTGGCCCTTTAAGTTAATTCTTGATGCTGGAGTGCTGACTCACTTTCTCGGCCTTGTTTCTGTTAAATGATAGGCACAATGCATATATGTGTGTTTGGAAGGGGCTTACAGCTTTTATCATTACTAGATGATTTGTATACATCTTTTAATTTTTGAACTGAACCATATCTGTCTACAGTGAATTAATTGTAAAATGTGTTTCCAGAAGTAGTTTTGAAAATAAAAGCATCTCTGATTTTCTGTGAGATACTGTTAACAATTTTATGGTTAGACTGTTTTGTCTGATGACTTGAACATTGGTTAAACTACTTGCATTTTCCTTTAATAACATCTAGTGTGGGCTGGGGATAGAGGTCTTGGTTTGACTTGGAGCATTACATGTACCACACTAAGCAAAAACAAAACCCTGGGTGGGTTGACTTGGGGGCAGTCAAGTTTCTGGAATTATAGATGGTTGTTATGTAGCATCTTGTTATGTAGTCTTGGCTGCCCTGTAAGTCATTGTATATACTTGGAGATCCACCCGCCTCTGCCCTCTGAGTGCTAGGAGTAAAGGCCTGCACCATCCCCCTGGCTTTCACACTGATCTTCAATAATCATTTTAAATTTCCTAAAGACAAAAAGATTATTTGGTAACTGAATATTGCTGACTCCTTTCAAGAGAGAACCGATTAAATAGTAATGTTTCATCTCCTTAGGGTGTCTTTCTGTGCCGAACATGCTCGAAGGAATGCCCTAGCACTTCATGCTCAAATGAAGAAGAACAATCCAGGCCCTATGGGTGAAACCCTCTTGTGCCAGTTGAGCTCATATGCTAAAACAGAGTTGGGCTCTCAGACACCAGAGAGCAGTCGAAGCGAAGCTAGCAGGATACTGGGTAAGGATGTCAAGGTCTTTGCTGGTGTCAAAAAGGAAGAAGCTAAAGGATGAACTTGGGTTTAGTGCAAGGATTTGCATTTGTGGTTGTTACTGGGAATTCTGTGAGAATTCCAGGGTTGCTACTGCTATTGTTAGTTATTAGTTGTTTTTTATTTAAGGGTTGTTTAGATACCTTCTCCTGATCTGGGACCTTCTGTTAAATTTTTAAAAAGTTAAAAATTTTGAATTTTAAGGTTTCAGGTTGATCTCTTTAATGTAGCTTCATATGTGGAGTTACAGAGGTGGGAAGTCTTAATGGCTGCTCTCCCTTCCTTGCCTCAGATGAAGACAGCTGGAGTGATGGGGACCAGGAACCCATTACTGTGGATCAGACATGGAGAGGTGACCCTGACAGTGAAGCTGATAGCATAGACAGTGATCAAGAAGATCCCCTAAAGTAAGTTGTAACTCCACCTAAGATTTTTACATATTCTATGTAGTTAGTATGTAAAATGTAGTGTGGCATGTGGTTAATTAATACAGGTGGGTTTAAGTGTCATGGTTCAACACCGTCTTGCTCCAAGACAAGATTTCTTGATTCTTCTGTGGGAGTCTTGGAACTGAGTTATGCCCATAAGATGTTATAGGGAAGAAAGATACCTTGACATAGGAATGGGAGGGGGACAGAAAAGTACTGGCTGGCTAGAGAAGAGACAGTGGTTTTGAATATGTGCTTGTCATAGATACTTGGACACTTGCTGCAAAATTCTATGGTTCTGACTTTTTAAATGGTAAAGTATCCAGTAATTTGTTTTGGTTTCATGTCTAATGAAAGAAAGACTGATTTAGAAACCCAGAATTTAATTATATGTTAAGGTCTGCTGTAACCCCTGATCGCCTTAAGAGGTGTAGAAATATTCAACACTGGAAATATTGAACATTGCCACTGACATCTCTAATAATTTTTTGAGACAGCATCTCATTATATATCTCTGACTGGCTCAGGCTTCTTTTTCCTCTACTACTAGTTTTTGTTTTGAATATCTTAGCAGTTAGACAACATTTGTCTTCACTTATGTATTACAGAAGAGAACATATACATATATATATTTTTTTGTTTGTTTGTTTGTTTGCTTTTTCGAGACAGGGTTTCTCTGGCTTTGGAACCTGTCCTGGAACTAGCTCTTGTAGACTAGGCTGGTCTCAAACTCACAGAGATCTGCCTGTCTGTCTCCCGAGTTCTGGGATTAAAGGTGTGTACCACCAACCCCTGGCTTGCTTGTTTGTTTTTGTTTTTTGTTTTGTTTTGGTTTTTTGAGACAGGGCTTCTCTAACAGTCCTTGCTGTCCTGGAACTCATTTTGTAGGCCAGGCTGGCCTTGAACTAACTGAAATCCACCTGCCTCTGCCTCCCAAGTGCTGGCATTAAAGGCATGCACCACAACTGCCTGGTTTATGTGCCACCATCTCCCAGCTATATATTAGTTTAGTGTTTTGAAGACAGGGTTTCTCCATGTTGTCTTGGCTGCCCTGGAATTCATTCTGTAGACCAGGCTGACTGGGAAATCAGATCCACTTGCCTCTGCTCCCCAGTACTGGAATTAAAGCAGTGTGCCACAATTGCTGGGTAGGTATTTATATTGTTGATGATTACACTTAATATACTGCAGTAACTAATTTTTTCTCACTATAGTTATGTAGATGAGATTTTTTTCTTCAAAGTAACCATTAAATTGCTTTGTAAAACATAATCTCATTTTTAAAACATTTCATTTTTAAAGCTTACAAGGTTTATAACATTTTAGCCAAAACAAAATGGTTAAGTCTTGCTTCCTTTTAAACTCTCTGACTCCCATACTATTGCTTATATTCTCTGCTGGTAGAGTGAAAAATAATTCCCTATTACTTGTTTTTAGTTTTGGATTTTTGAGGCAGGGTCTACCTGATCAGCCCTGATTGACCTCGAATAAACTTGTTATTAGGTTAGTGTTTTACATCACTTACTAATACAGACATGGCCTATTACCTTGTTTAGATAGGAAGAATAACTTTTTTTTTTTAAATAAAGGGTTTATGTATGTGTTTTGCATCCATATGTAGTGTACCACATGTGTGTCTGATTCCCATAGAGGTCAGAAGAAGGCATTGAATATGCTGGAACCAGAGTATTGCACGGTTGTAAGCCACCATATAGTTGATGGGTAGTGAACTCTCTGTAACAAGTGACCCTCGAACAATCTCTCATCATTCTTGTAGCACAGTGTCTGTGTGTCCATGGCTGGCCTTGAACTTAAGAACCTCCTGTCTTGGTCTCATGAGGGATAGAGTTGCAGGTGTGTGCCACCATACCTGGCTGGTCATAATTTTTACAGTTTTCTGGTTTTGTTCTTGATTTTTCATTATTTCTGTATACTTACTTTTCTTTGACATTAACTACTTTTCTAAATACATGTTTATATTGGCTTCAATTTAAAATATTTGGCAGATTTGCTTCCAGTCCTGTAGTAAATTTTTTTGTATATTCTATACATTTCAGAATATAGAAAAAAATGTTTTTGAGACCTGGTTTTATGTATCCCATGCTGTCTTCAATAGGCTATATAGCTGAGGATGACCTTAAACTTCTCATCTGAATGTGTACCAGAGGTATCTCAAACTTAACCATCTGTGACTGCATAGACATGTGCCATCTATGCTCAGCTCTAGTGGTGTGTTCTTTTTTTTGAGATTCTACTATTTTAATTTAGGTGTACTAGTGTTTTGAGTATGACTGTGTACCACTTGTGTACAGTGCCCGAGTTAGGCAGAAGAGGGCGTCTAATAACCTGGGACTGTAGTTACAAACAGTTAACAGCTGAAGGAACTGGGAACTGAACTCCAGTCCTCTGGAAGAGCAGGCGGTGCTCTTAACTGCTGAACCATCTCTCCAGCTCTAAATGGCTAGTTTTTTTTATGTAGACAAGGATGGCCTTGAACTCAGAGATCCACAAATGGCTAATTTTCAAAGACATTTTTGTTTTGGATATATAATTTGTGTGTATTATTTCATATAGGAGAAACCTTTTAATTACTGAAAATATAAAGTATATCAACATTAGTAGCTTGTTTTCCCTGTTTATATAATGACCACCAGGCAAATTGAATTTAAAATAAAATTTTTAGTTAAATGATTTTTCCCCCTAAGACAGGGTTTCTCTGTGTTACCATGCTGTCCTGGACCACACTGGTCTTGAATTCACAGAGCTCTGCCTGCCTCTGCCTCCAGAGTAAGTGTGGGCCACTAAGCCCAGCTAAATTTGCTTTAGATTCAAAGTTTTAATCTTTCAGTTTTTAATTACTTAACTCAAAAACAGGAAACAATCTTCATATTAAGCTCTAGAATATCTTTAAAGTTTATGACTGGTAGCCAAATTATACATTGGTATGTGGTGTTGCTAGACTTTGAACCTTGCTAGTGTTATACATGGATTTTACCAGTACTCTATCTTCAGGCTGTGTCCCTTGGACCATAGTTAGTCTTTGAAGGCCAAAAAATCTCATTATAGGATTGTATTTAAAGGAAAATTAGGACACATGGTTATTTGATATTTTTGTGTTTGCCTAAATGTGCACCTGTGTACATGGAGGCTCAAAAAGGGTGCTGGATCCCCTGAACTGCAGTAAGAATTATGAACTGTGAGTCCCCTGCTCTTAACCTCTGAATCATCTTCAGCTCCTGGTTTATCTTGTAATTAAAATACTACATTGTTCTGACCAGGGGCTTTCTGTTCAATTACTGTGTAAAAGTAGAATGTAGATTAGTTGGTAAAATTTTCATGTTGCTCATCTTTGTTAAGTACATAAATAATGAGCTATCTCCCTTCCTGTTCCATATTGTGTGGTAATGCATTGGTATCCTTTTGTGGAGAGACCACCCTCCCTTGAGTCTCTTCTTACAAAGAATCTGTGCAGGTCCCAGACACACATGGCAGGGGGGAAAGACTGGATCATTGTGGGTTTTTGTTGGTTTATTTGTTTTTAGTGCTGAAGATGGAACTAAGGGCCTTATACTTTACCACTGAGCTATACTATACCAGCAAGCTCTTTTTTTGTTGTTGTTGTTTAATGTCTTAGTAAAATGCTGTTTGAAAATATTCCTATTTAACAAGATATGTCAGTTAGCATTGACCTTGTTAAATACAAATTGAGTCTTCAGAATTTTAATACTTTTTTTTTTTTTTTTTGGAGATAGGGTTTTCATATCTAGGTTGACCTTGAGTTTGCTACATAGTTAGGTAGTTAGGCAAGCTTTGAACTGGTCCTTGTGTTTCCACCTTCTAAGTGCTAGGTTATAGGTATGCACCACCACACTTGTCCCTATTGCTGTTTCTTTAATGCTTTGCTGAATTTATTGTTTTATTCCAGACATGCTGGTGTCTACACGGCTGAAGAAGTGGCTCTTATTATGAGAGAAAAGCTAATTCGTTTGCAGTCTTTGTACATTGATCAGTTTAAACGACTACAGCACCTACTCAAAGAGAAGAAGCGCCGATACTTACACAATCGAAAAGTGGAACATGAAGCTTTAGGCAAGTTTGATGTAGTTGAATCTGACTGACTATAGCCAGTGTGTCCCTGCTTACTTAAGTTTGGAAAAGCATCCTTGGTTACTAGTTACACCTTGACTTTTTTTTTTTAGAGGTGAATATGTAGTAAGTATCCGAGTACAAGAGAATCTGACCATAGGGAGTTTGCTGAGACAAGATAGACTGATGTCCTGTTTCAAAATTTTGAATTTTTGTGACCTTTTAGGTAGTAGTCTCCTGACTGGCCCAGAGGGACTTTTAGCCAAAGAAAGAGAGAATTTAAAGCGACTAAAATGTCTTAGACGATATCGTCAACGCTATGGAGTAGAAGCCTTACTGCACAGGCAGCTAAAGGAACGCAGAATGCTGGCCACAGATGGGGCTGCTCAACAGGTAATTTGCTCATGTATCTCTAGGTGTACACATTCACTTATTGATGGAATCGTCATGAAAACACTATGTTCAAGCCAGGCAGTGGTGATGAATGTCTTTAATCCCAGCACTCTGGAGGAAGAGGCAGGAGGATCTCTGAGTTCAAGGAGGCTGGCCTGATCTATAGAGTGAGTTCCAGGATGGCCAGTGCTGTTACACAGAGAATCTCTGTCTTGAAAAACCAAAACAAACAAAAATAAAAAGGTTAAAAAAAAAAAAAAATAAAATGAAAGAATTAAACGTCAAGAAAGGTTGACAGAGTAATTAACATGATCATTTTTTGGTATATTTGGTAGCTTTGTTTGCTTGTGTGACTGAAGAAAATGACATGTGCTGGGATTAAAGGTGTCACCTTTTAAATACAAAAACTAATTTTGTATTTAATATTTTCAGACCTAGGTTGACTATAGGTTAAGGGACAGACTACTTTATCATACTTTTACAGAGGTGTATTATTTATCCATGAAGTTTCGTTGCTACAATATTGGTTTAAAAGTTGTATTTTTTACCTTGTACGAATTGACTTTGCTTTTATAACAGTAATATTACGATGTATTCCTGTGTAGGTTTATTTGTGTTTGTTTTCTCAATTTTTAGGCTCATACCACTCGCTCCAGTCAGAGGTGCTTAGCTTTTGTGGATGATGTTCGCTGCTCCAATCAGTCTCTTCCAATGACCAGACACTGCCTTACCCGTATCTTTTAAAACTATTTGTTTAGGTTCTGATTTTCTACTTAAGACAACTTAAGACAGGCTAGTAGTGATCTCTGTTAGTTTAATTGAAGGTTTTGTTTACTTTGGCCCTGAATCAAGACCAGCAGTGTATTGAGGCTGTTGGTTTCAAGCAGGTGCCTAAATAAATGTCTTTCTATGGTCTGTTGGCCATTTTAGAAATATACAAATGTTATGGTCAATTCATTAGAAAGAAACATCTGAGCCGGGTGATGGTGGCTCACTCCTGTAACCCTAGCACTTGGGAGACTGAGGCAGACGGATCTCTGTGAGTTCCAGGACAGCCAAGGTTACACAGAGAAACTCTGTCTTGGGGAAAAATCTGGCTGAATATGATACCCAGCTCTTTAAACACTTGACCAGGTAGGCCCAGAAGTTTGGGAGTTGTGGCCTCCTTGGGCCACAGAAAAATCCTGTCTGGGATGGGTAAAAGGGAAGCCGTGAGCGGGAAAAAAACAGTGAGTCATTGATGACAGATGTGGGTGGCTGCTAATATTAATGATATTATAGGGTTTCTGTATAATACTTATACATTATTGATTTAGCCTTTGTTCATTAAGTTATATGTTAACTCTGTTACCAAGGAAAAAAGATCACTGTGGGTTTTCTGCCCATAACAATATTCTGCGCTGTGAACTATGCAGTAGTGTTCTTTTATATGGTTAGTGCCCTAACTTGTGTGTTTTTAACTTACTCAAATTAGAAACGTTCAAAAAATGTACTATCTTCCCCTATTTTCTTTCTAATTTGTAAATTTAAACCATTAACACCATATGCTTTCTGGTATAGAACTACATTGCTGATGGGCTACAAAACTTGGGCTGACCTATATGGAGGAGTGGGGAGGGAGAAACAACCTTCTCTTGGTCTTGTCTTTGACAGGGAAGGGTTGTTTTTATTCTTGTGGTTTTTTTTTTTTTTTTTTTTTTTTCTTCTTCCCCTATTGAAATATTTGAATTTGAATTTTATACTAATGTCTGAATAGCTTATCTTTTTAGCCTCAGCATTGGGACTACAGGTGTACACTACCATACCTTATTTAGAGTTACTGATTTTAGAATATAAATGCTTATGCAAAGTATTGAGCTCTAAAGATGACTGCTTAAAACATAATTGGGCTACTTAAAGGCCAGGAAACTGTAAAGAGCGTTTGATGTGTGGGGTGGAGGTTGAAGGGGCTTTAAGGGAGGAGATTAGAGCCTATAGAACACATGAGATATATAAAGTAGAGAGTGCTGGTGTGAGAAGGGTTAATGGAGTGGTGGGTGAGGAGAATGGGGACGGAAATCAACTAAAACAAACTGAAATCAACTAAAACAAACTATGAAAATACTTAAGGTAACCTTACTTTGTAAGCTAACTAAAAAATTAACAATAGAACCTTTTAGCTGGGCATGGTGGTGTATGCCTTTAATTCTAGCACTCAGGAGGCAGAGACTGGCAGAGTTTGAGGCTAGACTGGTGTAGTGAATGCCAGGGCTATGTAAAGAGACTATGTGTCAATAAGTAACCTTTTAAATACTTGCTGTAAAACTTTTTCTTTTTCTTTTTTTTTTAAATGAACCAGGCACAGTGGCTCATGCCTATAACCCCAGTACTTCAGAGGTAATGATGGGAAAATCAGGAGATAAAGATTATGCCTGACTAAGAAGTAGGTTCTTGGGTTCCAAGCTAATGTATCATGTTACTAGGAACAGTATTTCTGCAGACTTAGAACAGAAACAACATTGTGTCTTGGAAGAGGTTAGTAGGTCTTCTGTATCAAGATGTTTTTCTGTTACCTTATGGGTTTTCTCTATTTCTGTATGTTCCTTAGCACTGCTGCAGTGGGGGCTTACTTAGTGTCTTTAGTTTTAACTGACCACAATCCTGGAAAAGAGATGGAGGATGAATTATAAATTATTGGTAGGGCTAAAATTATGTGCTGTGCAAAATAACACTTAGTTTTAGAGAACTAAAGATTACTCATTGCATTTTGTTTTCTATAAAAACAGTTCTCTGAGAGCGTGTGTGTGTGTGTGTGTGTGTGTGTGTGTGTGTGTGTGTGTGTGTGTGTGTTATGGCATACTCTCCCAGATTGTGCACATCCGATGGATTTGGTCTATTTCCTTAACTGTTTCTGCAGATATTTGCCAGGACACAAATCAGGTTCTCTTCAAATGCTGCCAGGGGTCTGAAGAGGTACCCTGCAACAAACCTGTTCCTGTAAGCCTTTCTGAGGACCCCTGCTGTCCACTGCATTTCCAGTTGCCTCCTCAGATGTATAAGCCCGAGCAGGTACTGTCTGTGCCAGACGATCTGGAAGCCGGCCCCATGGATCTGTACTTGAGTGCTGCCGAGCTTCAGCCCACTGAGAGTTTACCACTGGAGTTCAGTGATGTAAGTTAGAGAAGCTCTGCTTTGATTGGCCCTTGAAAGAAGGCCCTCTTTATTAGTGGTGAGAATAGTTAGTGGTTTTCAGCCAAAAGGATGGATAAAGCTTTTGACATGATACAAATGTAGTGGAATATGTTTGTTACTGTATTTATTAGACACTTTCTGTCCCACCTTTTATTCCTCAAGTCTTTTCTTGTTATGAGATAGAGCCTCACTATGGAGCCTGATTTGAATCCGAACTTATGATCCTTTATGTCTGTCCCCTAGGTGTTAGTGTTTGAGGCATGTACCACCCAGGCCTGGCCTCCTTTATTACTTGGAATGTGATTGGAAGTGACTCAGTGATTTTTTTTTTTTTTTTTTTTTTAAAGGTATTTCCTTCCTGAGCCCTTACACTCGGAAAAAAGAGAGAAAACTTCTCTTTTACTTGAGGTGGTATCTGACTCTACCACTGAACTACCCTGTCTAAGCTTCTCAAGTGCTATGACAGGTGTGGGTCACTACCATACCTGACTCCTAAGTGTTCTTTTTGTTGATGGATTTGCCAATTTTGGACAATTCAGTGAATTTTGTGTCTATAGCTTTTTTTTTTAAACCCTTAGTTTTTTTTTTTTTAAAGATTTATTTATTATGTATACAGTGTCTGTATGTGTGTCTGCATGCCAGAAGGAGGGCTCCACATCTCATAGATGATTGTGAGCCACCATGTGGCTACTGGGAATTGAACTCAGCCCTATCCCCTCTTAGTTTTCTGAGACAGGATTTCTCTGTGTGATTCTCCCTAGCTGTCCTGGAACTTACTTCAGCCTAGCCTTGAACTTAGCTCCTCCTGCCTCTGCCTTCCAAGTGCTGGGATTAAAAATGTATGCTACCACTGACCAGAGAAAGCCTTTCTCAAACTTGCTGCTTTTGGAGAGGACTTGGCTTTGGTTCCAAGCAGCCCAGCATCCATATGGAGGCACAGACAGACAGACAGACAGACAGACAGACAGACAGACACACACACACACACACACACACACACACACACACACACACACACACACCCCACCTCACACATATAAAGCAATTTTTTTTTTTTTTTCTTTTTTAAAGGCAAGGAGGGTTGTGGGTTACTTACTTTTTGTAGCTAGCTGTAGCTGTGCTGGAATTTACTGTATATTGCAGGCTGGCTTCATCATAAGATCTTCCTGCATCGTCTTCTGTCTCTGAGTGCTGGAGTTAAAGGTGTGTGCCACCAAGCCTGGTCCTGTGTGGTGTTTTTTGTTTTGATTTTGTTTTCTCTCTGGTTTTTGAGATAAATACAAACCGGGATTCTGTATTTGTTGTGGTAGATTTTAAACATTCCTGTTCTGGTAGACAGGCATTTTTTGTTGACCCTTTTCAAAAAAGTTTTATTTTTATTTTGTTTGTTTTGAGACAGGTTTTCTCTGTATAACAGTTCTGGAACTCACTCTGTAGACCAGGCCAGCCTTGAACTCACTGAGATCTGCCTACCTCTGCCTCCCAAGTGCTGGGATTAAAGGTGTGTGCCGCCACCACCCAACAGAAGTTTTATTTTTAATTGACATTTTATTACAAATTTACTCAGTATAGAGACTTCACTTGGTTTAGTTCTAATTTAATTTTTGATGCTGTTCTAAATGGGATCTAAATATTTTTGTGTTTTTTGCTTCCTGCTTTAAGCCCAGCTTTGTACCATGACCTAAGATGACTAGTATTTGATTTAAAAAAAAAAAAATATTTGTGTGTTTTGCTTCCATGTATGTATGTGCCCTCTATGAATGCATGGCATCAGAGGCCTGAAGAGTTTAGATTCCCCTTGGGCTGAAGTTAAATAGGGTTATGAGCCACCATGCGGATGCTGGTAATCAAACCTGGGTCCTCTGCAAGAGTAGTAAGTGCTCCTAACCACTGAGCCTACATGGTTTCTTGTATTCACAGAGATACTTGATGGGGCCATTGATGAGTGATATAAACTCTTCCTAAGAGAAATGGCCTTGCATTTTTAAAACCTCTGTCTTCATTGCTCTGGGGATTGAAGTTCTTGGGAAGTATTGCCTGCTGTCTGTAGAAACTACTTTTCCCTCCTTGGTTTGAGAGAGATGATGCCAATTTGTTTTTCCTCTCAGAGTTGGCCAGTTTAAGTTGCAGTCTATAAACCTCTTAGCCATAAATTTGGAGTGTTAATTTTAAGAGGAAAATGGGATTACATTTTAAACACCTCCCTATGTGACTTAGGAAATGAAGCCCTTTGAAGTGTTTGCCCATGTTATAATCTCACGCTTCTTTTTTTTAATGTGATCTAGAGACTCAAAATATATATATTCCTCTCTGTTTTTAGTGACTTAAAATACTCAGCGATGGGGGAGATTGTAAAGTAGAGGCCCTCTTCCCAGAGGGCAGGCCTGGGGGTATCCAGTAGTGCTCAGAGTGGGCTTCCTGCTGAAACTTGTCTGTTTTTCCTGCCCACTCCTTATAGATGTTTTCTGGTTGCCGTCCCTGGCATTCTCAGAGGCAACTGCTTACACAAATAGACTTGTGTGTATTGTGTACCTATGGGTGGGAAGAACTGGGAACAATCCCAAGCTTTAAAAAAAGATTGCAGGAAACAAAGTGTCCACAGTCTTAATGGTGTGTGTGAGAGAGAACATTGCTTTCTGTGGATAACATAGATATTTCCAGTACATCTGTAATGGATATTTGTAAGTGTGGCTTTCTCTGTGTTTCTGCTTACTCTGAGCAGTTTGTCTAAATTGTTGCTGTTTTTAAGATATTTTAAAAGAATATATTATGTGTCCCAGGCTGGTCTTGAACTCTCACAGAGATCTGCCTGCTACTTCTTACTTCCAGAGTGTAGGGAGTGAAGGTATGTGCACCCATGCTTGGCTTTTAAACATTTTTTTAAAGACTTAGTTATTTTTGTTTTATTTGTATGGGTGTTTCACCTGCATGTATGTGCACCATGTCCATGTCTAGTGGCCTGAGAAGTCAAGAGGTGTCAGATCTGGTACTGGAGTTACAGTTCTGTGTGGAGTTCCATGTGGGTGCTTGTATTAAACCTGAGTTTTCTGGAAGAGCAGCATGTTCTTTTAACTGCTGAGTTATTTCTCCAGCCCCTAGTTGAATTATGTTTGACTTTTTGTTTATTTTAGATAAGGTCTTGCTGTATAGACCAGGCTGGCTTCAAACTCACTCTGCCTTTGCTTCCTGATTGCTGGTTTTAAACTTGTGAGCCACCACATCCAGCATTGGCTTTTAGACTTAAGTTTTAAGGGGAGTAGATAGTTTAACTGTTTTCTCTCCCTTTAATCATGAAAAAGTTAAGATTTTTATTCCTGGAGGTTACCACACATACATAACAGTTGTGTAAAATGATGGATTTCCTTGTGATTATACATGTGTGTAGCATATTTGCTCATAATCTCTTTTCCCTATTATCCTTTCTTACTGTCCCTTCTCCTTTTCCCTTTCCTGCCAGGTCTTTAATGTGGGACCTGTAAGTTCTTAGAGGTAACTTAAAAAGCATTGACTGAGCTTGTGTCAAGTGTCTTGGAACTTAGGTTGCTATAGTACTCGAGTCATTATAGTGACTTGAGCCCTGAATCAATGTTGGTTTCAGGCAGGAGCCAAGAATGATTCTTGGTCTGTTGACTCTTCATTATCTCTGGGAATGACTGACTCATATGGAAAAGTGTAGTCTAGAATGTAATGTCTTTTTTTTTTTTTTTTTTTAAACAGAATACTTGAACTATGTTAAGTTTAAGACTGAGAGGCTTAGCTGGGCCAGGTGGCACAGGCCTGTAATCCAGCTACTGGCAGGTGAAGCAGGAGCATCATAAGTTCAAGTCTTGCCTGGGCTGCAGGGTGAGTTCAAGGCTAGCCTGGTCAACTTAGTAAGACCCATCTCAAAGTAGATGTGAAGTAGAAATGAAGAATAGAGGACTTGGAATGTAGCTCAGGGTAGATCGTTTGTCTGCCATGAGAGAGGTCCTGACTTCAGTTCTACCAGAAGCTTATGCTAGGAGTAGGAAATTAACAAAAATGTCATGGTCTTTGCCATTCAGAGAAATTTGAGTTTCTGTGGGTTTTTTCCTCTCTTTTAGTTGCTTGCGTTGTGAATGTTGGTTAATCTTGCATTGCCTAATGTTTTCCAGTGGGATTTCATGTTATTTTATCTAGAAGTTGATTGTTCTTACTTATATACATCAGTGAGGAGCTTAGATGTTGATTGACTATAATTAGTCTCAGAGAGGGTATGGTTTTTTTTTTAAAGTTACATATATTTTCATGGGTGTAGTTTGAGTGTGCTTGAGTGTGTGAATGTGTGTGTGTAAATACATGTACATGTCCACATGTTGTGGCATGCATATTTGAGTCAGTTCTTTTCTTCATTATTTGGGTCTGGGGAACTAAATTAAATACAAGTCATCAAGGCTTGTTGGCCAGTGACTACTCACGAAGCCATCTTATTTTGTTAGCCCTGTATTTTTTTTTTCCTTAGAAATATTCTTTACTATTTACTTGTTTTGTATGAGTTTGTGCACATACATGTATATGTGTACATCAGAATGGTTGTAGGAGTCTGTTTTCTCTTCCATGTGGATTCTGGGGTTCAAACTCAGTTAGTTCACCATCACTCTTAGCAAGTGTCTCTGTTCATTGAGCCATCTTGCTTTCGCTGGTGGAGGATTTTTGGTTTTTTTCCTTTTGGTGTTTATTATAATAGAACATGTGTTAATAAAATTTTAACACTTTAACTGCTTTACAGTTTACAGTTCAGTGGTATTAACATTCATTGTGCTGTGCGATCATTACTAGTATCTTTCTCTTGCATTTTTCCATTGGTTCCAACAGATTCTATACCTGTTAAGCCCTTTCTTTCCTTCCACTCATAGTAGTCACTGTTTTACTTTCTGTGATCTCTCTTAGGAATTTGCTTGTTGATTTATGTTTTGTTATCAGCTAAGAAAGTTTTCAATATTGTTGGCTCTTGTTTAATTGATATAACATCCTAAGCAAGGGGAAAGGAGGGACCTGAGAATTACTTTGAACTTTGCTGAAAATTATGTCAATTTTATCTCATTGATTTCCTAAATAATGCTAATAGGCTTTTCCCTTTCTTTCCCAGGACTTGGATGTTGTGGGTGATGGTATGCCATGCCCTCCATCACCTTTGCTCTTTGATCCTTCACTAACTCTTGAAGATCATTCCGACAAAGAAATTGCTGGAGGCCCAGTGGGTATCTTGACAATTAAATCTGAGCTAGGTTCCTTCATATAGTGGCCAGGCCAGGTGGAGGTTTTTGATGTTGGTTGGCATGAGTTCCAGGGAGTAGGGTGTATTCCCAAATGGAATGTAAAAGTGACACAGATGGTGGTTTTTCAGTGGGTACTATAAAAGAAAGTACCCCTTTCAAGCTAGAAATAGAGTTCACTGATAGGTTTTGTTATTGGGCTTCTGTTGTGATAAAACAACATGACCAAAAGCAACTTGGGGGGAAAAGGATTTATTTCACCTTATGCTTCAGGTAGCACTGAGGGAAGTCAAAGGAACCTGGAGATGGGAACTGATGCAAAGACTATGAAGGAGTACTGTTTGCTGGCTTGCTCAGCCAGTTTTCTTATACCATTTAGGACTGCCCAGGAGTGGCACTGTTCACAATGAGTTCAGCACTCTCACATTATCCAAGAAAATGCACTACAGGTTTTGATGTTCCCTTCTAAAATGAATCTAGCCTATATTAAATTGACAGACCAGCTAGCATAGACCTTACATTTACAGTTATGGTAGGAAGTCCTGGGTTTAATGCACAGCACTGACTAAACAAAACATAAAACAACTTTTTCTTTTTTGTTTTTGAGATAGGGTTTCTCTGTGCCTTTGGAGGCTGCCCTAGAACTTGCTCAGTAGACTAGGCTGGCCTCAAACTCACAGAGATCCACCTGCCTCTGCCCCCACCCCCCCATACTGGGATTAAAGGCGTGCACCACACCGCTCAGCACTCTTTCTTTCTAATGCCCGTCTTGCACTAATTTTCCAGATGAGCTATAGAAGTAGGGCATAGGTTTATCTGAATGAAAGATGGTAGGTAAATTGTCCCTTTTAGGCAGTTCATTATTCTAATTGTTATTATAAGATAAAGGCTGAGGTAGCTTACTGATGGCTCTTACTGAAGACTAGCAGTTCCACTGTAGCTGTTGGTTTCAAGCAGAGGCCTACAGAACTGTCTTCCCGTGCTTTATCAGTTACTCTGGAACCTCAGTAGAGAATGACTATTTCATTTGGAAGAAACAACCCTATTCTCTCCTTTGACAGCTTCAGTAACTGATTCTCCGGGACATCAAAGTATTGGGGAAAACAACCACCTAGTTACTTTATTTCTCTTGTTTTTGTAGCTACTATAAATGGGCATCAGGGTCGTGCTTCAGAACCATTGCATGAGTCTAATCAAAGTGCCTTTATTTTAATAGGGCCAGATGCAGGTGGCTGGGGATAGGTGCAGATCCCAGGTACCTCGAAATTTAGAGAAAGCCTGCGCATCATTCCCTCAGCGTGGATTGTCTACTGCAAATGGAAAACCAGAACCTACTTCTATCAGTTGACAGTTCAGTCTGGAAATTTTTTGACTTTGGTGGATCTGAACTTACAGTTCTTCAAACAGTATATCTCTGATCATCTCTCACTAAGCAGGGACAACCCAGATTACATTGTTTTTCTTTGGGGCTATAGAGTGATATATTTATGAGGAATAAATCTTTAGTGTTTAAGTTATAGGATTCTTTTCAAGGAAGAGAGTGTGGTAGTCCCTGCCTTTGGGATGGAATGAATATTGGAGACTATTCCTGAGGAAAAGACGTTTTTGTGATGGGATTTCCTAAGCCTTGGATGAAATCTAGGCAGGGGCTGCAGTCAGGAATGGAACTCTTTGGGTGCTGGCTGTTCAGTGTCTGGCTATCTGTATCTAAAGGCCTGTGTTTAAGTCTTTCCTCAGCCCCACATAACTGGGCAATAGAAACCCCTCTTTCTAGTGACTGAAAAGAGCTCACAGGTCTGTGCTATCCTTCCTGCTTTTAACTTATGTAAATGTCTGGTGGATTCCCCCATGTAAAATATAGTAAAATTATTGTATATAGTTTCTATTAAATGTTAAAATGTTATGGAAATGTAAAGTAGTGTGAATTTTTGTTTCTGTATTTGAGAGTGTCTATATTATTTTCTGGGACTCCAGTTCTGTCTGATGGGAAGAGTATATAATATTTCTATCCTGGGACAGGCATTACCAGAGAAACGGCATGAGAGAAGTGGCGCTTGTTACTCAGCTCCCTGGGCCAGATAGAATTGGGTTCATTGGAGAGTTAGTTCAGTAGTGGGCTCAAGACTGTCCAGTGCTTTAGGATCTTGGGCGAACCCCGGGGGGGGGGTGGTGGTGAGAGAATAGGCTCAGATGTAATGAGGTTTGTGTCAGGCTGGTTCTAGGGAAACTAAAGGAAGCTTCTAAAGCCCAAATAACAGTTCACAGAAAACATAAGTAATACAACTGTGAGGAACAAGATTAAGCTTGCTTGGGGTGGACATTGTTACTGTGAGCTGTACATTTCTTCCTACAAGAAGGAATACTGAGGTGAAGATCATTTTTTTAGCCCAAGCTGCTTTCAGGTGTTTCAGTTACTTACCTTATGCTTGTAAGGCTTATGGTTCCAGAGGGCTAAGAGGCCATGGCAGGAAGGCATGACAGCAATGGGAGGCATGGTGGCAGGGTCAGGAGGCTGAGGGCTCATGTCCTTGACTACAAGCATGAAAAACAAGTGGTACAAGGCTTTTAATCTCAAAGGCCAACTTCCTTCAGCAGCAAATTTGCATCATCTGAGACTCCCAAAACTGTCCCCAATGGGGCATTGAGGGTCCAAATCTAGAGGCTGTGGTGGACATTTTTCATTCCAGTAACCACATCTGGTTTTGCCAATGGAAAGTCCAGAACCACAGTACTGGACCAGAGATTGTCAGAAGGGGAGCTGGTCCAAACAGCCAAATGGAAGGTCAGAGTGCATCTGATGGACTTGAGCCAAGCCAAAAAGTACTCCTCTCCACCGAGACCATCAGGGCTGGGGGGATGCAGGCCCCACAGCACTGCTGCAGGATGAGAAAGGAGGTTATGTGATTCATGGGAAATGTAGATTATGGAAGGTTAGGTGGCATAGTAGCTCCTGCTGCTGTACCCAACATTGCCTTTTTGACTGAAATGGGATACAAGCGCTGAGGTCTTACTCTGCTGTATTGAACTTTGCTAACATTCCTTTGTGTCCTTACCTGTCCAAAGAATCAGAAAGTAAATGAAACTAAGTTCCTGAAGCCAATAAAGTTCATAAGTCTTCCCAAAGATATATAAGCAGTAATTAATTTCTGGGGAGAGGAGACTCCAAAATTAGCAAACTGTAAACCAGCTCTCAGCAAACTGTCAGGAGCTCCAGGGGTGCGACTATTGTGAGTTTTCCCATTGTTGGGGTGAACTTTTTTGGTGATGTACCTATCTCTGAGTCATCCATGCTCCTGTAAGTAAACCAATAAACTCAGCAGTTCACAGAACTACTTGGGTGGAGTAATTTCTTTGGTGTTTCTTTGGTGTGTCTATGGTGTCCCAACGTGACTGCAGTGCCCAATACCGACCACAAGAGGGAACTAGGGGGACAGTGTTCATCTCTTCAATACTGAGTTCCAGCCAACCTCTAAGGTTGGGAGAAGTGGGAGAAATGAGACAGAGGTGGAAGTAAAGGGGAGGGGGTAGGTGGAAAGAAGAGAGTGGGAGCTAAAGGAGCAGAAGCTGAGACAAATGGCTGTAGAGGTGTCACTCCTAACAGCCCAGTAGAGACTCGAACGCCTACTCAGGGAAGCTAAGTCATTAAAAAACAAAACAAAACACAGAAGGCACGGAAGCACTTGGATCACATATCTTCCTTTGTGGGCCTTGGGGGATTGAGACAGGGTTTCTCTGCGTAGCCCTGGCTGTCCTGGAGCTCACTGTAGACCAGTCTGGCCTTGAACTCGATCTTCCTGCCTGTGCCTCAAAGTGCTGCTCCACCACTGCCGGGCTCATACCTTATTTTCCAAAGTCTGTTCCATTGTGATGCCAATTATGTTTAGAAGCATGCAGAGTGTCTACAGAGCAGCTTCAAGGCTTTCAGTTGTGGAGTACTACTGAATTGATTGATTAATTACTTTAATAAGCTACCTCAGACAACCGAAGGTAAGAAAAGTGCTGTCCCCACATGCTGATTACTCCCATTGTGCATACAAGAGTTAACTTTAACAATTAATAATGCTCTGTGCTCAGCAAGGCTAGTAGCTCTGGAATGTCACCAGAGCAGCCCTGCCTAAGCTCCATACACAAACACACAGTCTTAGGAATTCTTTTCTCCCTCCCTCCCATCCTCCTTCCTTTTTCTCAACAGGGTAGCCTTGTTTAACTGGGAACTCCCTATGTAGACTCTAGTACTGGCTTCATTTTTTTCTTTTTCTTTTTTTTTTAAATAAGTTGGGACTAGAGAGCTGGTCCAGCAGTGAAGAGCACAGGTTGCTCTAGAGGACCCAGATTTGGTTTCCAGCATCCAAATAGCATCTCACACTGTAATTCCAGTTCCAGGATATCCAATACCCTCTTCTAGTCTCTGAGGGCACTAGGCGTGCAAAATACTCAACACATAAAATAAAAATAAACCTTAAAAAAAAAAAAACAAAAACAAAAAACCTTGAGCCTTTAATCCTAGCACACGGGAGGCAGAGGTAGGTGGATCTCTAGGTTTGAGTCCAGCCTGGTCTACAGAGAGTTCCAGGACAGCCAGGGCTACACAGAGAAACCCTGTCTGTCTTAAAAAACAAACAAAAGCTCATAAGCTGAATGTGGTGCACACACCTTTAATTCCAGCACTCAGAATGTAGGAACGGGTGTATCCCAGGGAATTCAAAGTAAGCCTGGTCTACATAGTTTGAAGACAGCCAGAGAGCTACATGTAGAGAGACCCTGTCTCCAAACAGACAAAAAAGGGTTTATACAAGTAGGTTAAAGGTTTTGTTTGCTTTTTAAAGATTTATTATGTATTTGAGTGCTCTGTCTTCCGTTATGTCTGCAGGACAGAAGAGGGCATCAGATTTCATTATAGGTGGTTGTGAGGCACTATGTGGTTGCTGGGAATGGAACTCAGGACCTCTGGAAGAGCAGTCAGTGCTCTTAACCTCTGAGCCATCTCTCCAGTCAAAGGGTTAAGTGTTTTATAGAAAGAAAAACTATATCAGAATCTTTTTTGTTTTGTTTTTGTTTTGTTTTTGGTTTTTTGAGACAGTGTTTTTCTGTGTATCCCTGGCTGTCCTGGAACTTGTTCTGTAGACAAGGATAGCCTCACACTCACAAAGATCTGCCTGCCTCTGCCTCCTGAGTGCTGGGATTAAAGGCATGTGCCACCATTGCCTGGCCAGAATCATCTTTCTTCATTATTATCTTCCTTTTCATTCTTCTTGGCTCTCTTATTCTCCGCGTTAGTTATCTTTTCCTTTACCAGCTTTGATAGTGCATTTGTTAAGCTGCCTTTGGCCTTCCTTCAGCTCTTTGTACAGCAATCTGTTTTCTTTGTTTTCCCTGTGTTTATCCCCCTTCTGCTGACACAACTATTTGACCTCTGCAGCAGTGTTCTTCCAAATCCTCCCCCCACCCCGCCCAGTTCCTTTGGAATACAGCTGGAAGGGTAGGTTGGGATGATCTCCCTTGATTCTGGATCAGTAGTAAAATAAGACAAAGGAATGGCCAAAGGAGCCTGTATTAGTTACTTGTAATTAACTGTGGCAAAACAGCTGACTAAGGAGGGAAGGATTTATGTTGGCCTATTCGAAGTCTTAAGAGTCATCATTGGCTCATCACAGCAGAGGTTTGGAGAGTCAGAACAGTTCACATGATGGTGGCCAGAAACCAGAAGAAAGGGAATATAAGATGGATCCAGGGCAAGATACACTGCCAGGGACCTAACTTATTAAAGTTGGTCCCATCTCCTTCCTTTGACCATCTTCCAGTTATGTGGTAACTCCATGACTCCATCATTTGGTCAGAACCTTCCTGACCTAATCATCTCTGGAAATGTCCTCAAGTGACACCCTGAAAGATACACTGTACTGATCTCTTAGCTTTTTTTTTTTTTTTCTTAAGCTGATCAAGTTGATAATTAAGATTGAACATCACAGGACTGGAGAGATGGCTCTGTGGTTAATAGCACTTAGCTGCTTTTCCAGAGGACACAGGTTCAGTTCCTAGCACCCTCATGGCAACTTACGACTGTAAGTTCAATTCCTGGGGGGGGGGGCGGTTCAATGTCCTTTTCTGACCTCTGAAAGTACCAGGCATGCACATGGTCCATAGACATGTATGTAGATGAAATGGACCATGTATGCAGGTGAAACATCTATATTCATAAAATTTTAAAAAATAACAAAATTAACCATTATAAGCTCCTTTGGGTGTGTTGAGGAGTCTGTAGATCAGTGGTTCTCAGCTTGTGGGTCTTGACTCCTTTGGGGATGGAATGACCCTTTCAAGGGGGTTGCCTAAGAGCATCTGCATATCAATTATATGCAATAATAGTAGTAAAGTTACAGTTATTAAATAGCAACAAAAGTAATTTTGTGGTTGGGGTCAGCACCACATGAGAGACATGAGGGTCTCAGCATCAGGAAGGGTGAGAACCTCCGCTGTGTGAACCTGTTATGGAAGCCTGCTGGTGCTTGTCACATGGCCTGGGCGGTCATTAAACTCACATCTGTCCTCTTGCCTTGGCCACCCCAGTTCTGGCTTGAACTGGTTTCCATTCCTCTTTTATAATGGGCTTTTTCTTCTTGGTTATGTCTTCACATTTCCAGCTACCTCTCTTTACACTTAGAAAATTCCAGGAAGCTGAACAGAGTCCCTGCAGGGCACCAGGCCCTGTGTTTCCTGCCAAGTCTGAGGAAACAGTGTGGCTTAGACTTCTGTATATTGTATACAGATGTTGTATATTGATACAAAATTGAGATTAATTTTGCTGAAACACTGTACATACATTTCTAATATTCAAGGTATTGTATCTATATAGCTAATTTAATAATACATATTTCTGGCTCTTGAAAGTTATTATTATCAACTATGTAGGACAAT